TTGATCCACTTATTTTGTACTTGCGAGATTTCTTGATTGTTCCGCACCCAAATTAGTGAGTGGATTAAGAAGACCTTGAATAATTAAATGTGCCTTTTGGATATACCTTTCGGCAAACTTAACAAAAATCGGAGTGCTAATATACTTCTACTTTTTCGTTGCCATATTTATAAGATGAAGCTGAATGAGTTCAAAGTAAAGTCTGTCACGGGCCAATGTGGCTCATCAGGCCGGCGTTTATCTCCGGTTTCCTAAGCATGAAACGACTGACAATATTTCGACTCCCCCATGGGATGCTAGTCCATCGCAGGTAACTCCCCAGCTAATGCCAGTACCCATTTATACTCCTGTGTGGAGAGACGCAAATGTGTGGGTGAAGTGGCTTGCCCAAGGACACAACAGATGACCAGCAGCTGGATTCGAACCCCTGACCCTCTGATCATGAGTCACAAACCGTATAACCACTAGACCACACTCCCCGGGTTAAAACGATACTTACTATGATTAAGATAAATTCATATTCATAAATACCTAAGACAGTTTACGCATTCCTATTGGTCGAGAGCCCGTCACGTGGCCGGTCTTAAACGGATGATAAAGACATGGCTAGCTGGTCTTAAACACTTTTCCAGTGTCACAATAAAATGTGGACTCCTAAAAATCCAGTGCCTCTTATCGTTTCATTGGTTGAACGTTCACAATCCTCACGTAGGCATGCGCAACACTACCAGGGAGTCAGAATTTTATAGTTCTAAATTCAAAACGCAACGCGCCAGGTGCGTTCTGCGCGACATCGCGCAGAACATGATACGCGCGCGTCAATCTCCATAAAAGGGTTGTTTACATCTTACTCGCCAGCCGAACACTCCATTATTTTGCAAGAGGGATGTTTCAAAAAGCATAAAGTGAATTTGTTGAACAAAATCGGGATGTTTTGAACGAATTATATGATTTTTTTTTACCGAAAAGGTATTTATGAATGGGAATAAATATGTGCTTTGTCGGTATTTATCACTCTGTTTAAGACCACTTAGAGTCTGGGTGCTGATAATTACCCTCGCCTCCGGCTCGGGTAATTATCAGCACCCAGACTCTAAGTGGTCTTAAACAGAGTGATAAAAACCTCCAAAGTACACATTTATTCCCTTAGTAATAGCCTAGTTATAGTAATTCTGCCAAATTTAATGTACAATGAGAGCCTTTCTCGCTTTTATGTAATGACTAAATGCAAAACAAAGAAGAAAAGTTTGTTGCAATGAAAAATAATGTTTCCCTGAGGGAGAAAAAGTCATCGGAATTTCGCAATCTGGGCTTGTGGTTCTGCACTTCCCTTCTACTGGCAATACCAAATATTACCGAGAAAACGGGGATATGTGTAAGCAACTTGACGAACCATGAGGAGCAGTAGTTCACTGCATGATATTTTGATATGGTAATCATTCTTGTGTGCTTAGGAAATGTTTAAATATAAATGTTTAAATATAAATGTTTAATTACTTTAATTGTTGTTCTTAGACTGATATCTTTATTTTCCTACTTCATTTTGAAAATTCTTATTCCTGTTCCTGTTTTAGCCCATTTATGTTATGGTATAATAGAATGTTTTATTGTGTGCATGTTTTAATGTGGTATTCAGGCTTCCAAGTTTTACATGGTGTATTTAATTACTTAATTGTTGTTTTATACATATCTTTATTTTCCAGCTTCATTTTGAAAATCACTTAATTACTTAATTGTTGTTCTTACATTTCTTTATTTTCCTACTTTATTTTGAAAATGCATATTTCTATTCTTGTTTTTAGCCAATTTATGGTCACAGAATGTTTTATTCTGTGTATGTGTTAATGGGGTATTCAAGCTACCAACTTCTACATGGTATATGGTCTTCTGTGTTTTATATTTATGATTTTTAGTAGTATTTGTAAATTAAACTGTAATTCGGCATTTTGTCTATGAATATTTTGCAGAAAGCTGTGCTCAACAGCAGATCCATGCCATTTCTCTCCTACTCGTTTCTCACCCGGTGTTGTGCCAAAAACCGTCCGGTGCCAAATACTGTCCGCTAATTAGCATAATGCGCTCTGATTGGCCATGCGCCCATGACGTCACATTGTTTACTGAAGCTTGCCAAATAGTGTCAGCGCTAAGCGTGCATCCTATTGCGTACGTGCCTTGCTGTTGAGCTGTCAAGACGTCGATCTCTCCGATTTTTCCTGCTTATACTGTCCGATCCCCCCTGCCAAATATTGTCCGATTTTCCTGCCAAATACTGTCCGATTTTTCCTGCTAAATACTATCCGATTCCCCGTGCCAAATATTGTCCGATTTCCCTGCCCAGAAAATGTCCGATTTTTCCTGCTAAATAATGTCCGATTCCCCCTTGTCCGATTTTTCTGCAATATACTGTCCGATTTTTCCTGCCAAATACTGTCTGATTTTTCCTGCCAAATACTGTCCGATTTTTCCTGCCAACAAATACTGTCTGATTCCCCGCCCTGCCACAATTGTCCGATTCCCCCTTGCAAAACACTATCCGATTTTTCCAGCCAAGTGTCCGGCAGGACGTACGAGCGCCCTTGTGCTCGATCGATGGCACCCGGACACTATATTTGGCACCGGGCACTATTTGGCATGTATTACATGCCAAATAGTGTCTGGCGCCCACTGCGCATGCTCAGCGGACACTATTTGGCACCGGACGGTTTTTGGCACGACACCGGCCACTGTGCTAATTAATTAGCAAACAAACTCCGTGGGACTTCGTCGGAAAGCCTGCCTCGGCTAATGAACACTGGGCGGGGACAACGGGTGATGTATGGACACCGTTCATCAAGACAGCAATTAGTGCAGTGCGCATTTCCGTTGCCAGTGGCAACGCAACGAATCCCACATAATCATTATGAACATGCGTAGGTCCGTGGGATGAGTATAATGAATAAAATGGACACATATAACGTTTCGATGTGCATGAAATTGAGGTCTGGGCCTACTTGACATTTCATGGCACATTACTCATAACATTCTTAATGCCACCATTAAAACCCTAACAGAACTCAACCCATCAACCCCAACAGCATGTTTTAGTTGGAATTTGTCAGGATGGGTACAGTACCCCTAAACTGACAGTCTTTTACATTGGGTTGGCACACCTCCAGAATCCAAGTCAGAAATATGTGTGTGTAGTTTCCCATGGTGTTGTGCCCTGATGGGTATGGTTCCTAGCAAATCATGCTAGGGAGTAATAGGTGTGGAGCGGACTTTTAGTTTGTTTTTAACTTTACATGTAATATGCACAGTAGTGGCTCCCCCGTTGGATGACCCGGTCCATTGTTGACTGTGTGGCCCCCGGGTAATCCTCTTGTCATTTGAGCAGTTTATTGGTCTGTGTAATTACATGTGCAAACAATAATTCTTCTCATATAGGAGTGGCACCCCCTTATGCTTCCCATTTATTTGAAGGTTTGAGTCTTTTAGGTTGGTTACTGGTCTTTCGTCTTTGGTTTTGCTCTTTTAAGTTGTAAGATTTTGGTCCTCACATTTTGAGTTTTAGTTTCTATTTGGTTTCGGTCCAGTCACGTTTTTGTTGTTGGAAATCTAGTCTCTATAGTCAATTTCCTGGCGAGCGTTCCTTTTAAAGATCCCGAGGTTAGTTTAGTTTCGTTAGTAAATCTCCATAGAATCTATTTAGAGCGAGTTCCCCCATAGTGTGTCATTTTTCCAGGTTACATTAGCAAAACCATTACATATACATGTATATACAAAAGCCGCACTAGTGTCGTTAAAAGAAATAAGGCAGCAAATTAAAGGGGCAGTTTGAAGCAGACAAGGGTGAACACCCGTAAATAGGCTTAATCCCATCCGCCGAGCTCATGAATAAAAGTTATACCCTCAAAATATTCTATATTAGAATGTTCCGAGAGCTATAAAATTGGGGAATTGAAAAAATTATTGCAATGAACCTGGCCTGGACTTGGGGCTTCCAATTCTGAGCATTTTGGATGCATTTGGGCTCGAAAGTGGCACTGTTTTGCCATGTTGAGGAGGGATCCTTTTCCAAGATGGCTACTTTTCCGCTTTGGGAAAAATAGGGGTCATCTTCTTTGAGTGAGAATTTCTCGAAAAGTCAATGGTCAACCCAGCAAAAAATGAAAAGAAAATGAAAGACGACATGTTGAACATCAGTTTACTGTGCAGCTAAAATACCTGTGAGAGTTCTGAGTATTTTAAAAAGAATTGTAAAGTATGGGCTTTTAGCACTAGTGTCTATGGGAATTGTATTGCACTGTTGCATCAACAAGCCAATTGCGATAAAATCCAATGTACCGTTCTTATCCGCCGTTCCTCGATAACTTAGTACCATTACAATTAAATTTCATTTCAAAACTCACATCCTGAATATTGCATTCACAGCGCCGCTTTCCGGAGTGCACGTACATCTTGCACTTTTAATATATGCCTAGTCAAAATATGCCGACTTTTATTTGTCAATATTTTTTTTAATCTAGCCGATGCGAGAATTAAAGTTATGCCAATGTTATTAGTACGGCAGATAGGTGACGAGTGTGGCATCAGAAAGATATTTGGCTATAGAACCATCGCAGATCTGTCCTTTGAAAAAATAATATAGGTAGAATAACAAGCAATGGCAACCATTTTAAAATTGTGAAAATTGCTCGTTATTCCACTAATATTTTTTTGTTTCAAAGGACAAATTTGCGATGGCCCTACAGCCAAATATCTTTCTTAAGACATAAACTCTGACTGTTTGCCAAATGCCATGCTTGTATCAATCAAAGGCACAATTTCCCCAAATATTTCCCCTAACTAAGTCCTACTAAACACCAGAATAGATCTCCACACAGTTTAAACTGAGTAATTTTTATGCGAATCCAACATTACAAATTCCTGTTGACTGTTTTTTAATGATTAATTAATCATTGGCTGAAAAAAAAATCAATCTTAATCTTATTCTTAATCATGAAGTAAGCTAAAATTCTTACCGGGATTACAGCGAATGCAGGCAGCGAGGCCTCCGTCCCCTTCGCCTCTTTTGAGGCCTCCTTCTTGCCTCCTTCCGGTAAGATGCTCGGTTTCACCATGATGTCTTCTCGGTACGCGGTGCAACGAGGAAAAGAATTCAATCAACGCACGGTTTGCTTGAGCGAGACCGGGGTTTATCAGCTCGGCGCGCCGGGGTTAATGCGATGTGAGATGCTGGCTGTGATCTCTCCGAACTACGCACGGTCGTTGGAGAAACTGCTAGCTCACTGTTACATCAAAACACAACCTTCGCCGAGGCTCTACTGCTCGCAAAATACGGATTATGCAAACAGTCAGCCTTGGTCCGGACGGACGGACGTGTGTTCAGTCAACGTGACTTGGCAGTCTTTTGTTATTTAGTGATGTAACTCCCGTCATATAATAGTCGTGGTGAATACACTATTCTTTTCCGTCCGCGGCCCGTTGCGCACTGCGCTGCATATTAACTGCACACGAACCAATAATAATACAGCTGTTTATTATTTGCCATGGCTGAGACCAGGATATGTGACGTCTCAACTCTCAACTTGCGCCAGTCGGTTGGCCAATGTAATACGGATCGCGCATGACAGCACCCGCGCCGCCCATGCACACTATGACAACATGCGTGCGAACAAGAAAACCGATTTCTTCATTTAAAATAATTACAGTCTAACGAATTGGGAATATAGGTGTCTTCGTTCAAAGCTACCATAGCCGCCTTCTGAATACCCAACTCGATCCGGGCAGATCCGGGGAGGGGGGCACTGGGTCTTTCACCCCCAGCCACTCCCAGCATGCTTTGGAAAATCTTCCATCCGGCACTGGCCCACTCATGTTGCAGTTGCCGTACGGCGCCCGGTTTTAAACCTCTGCATACTTATGGTAATAAAACAATAATGACGTCACCATTTCGGATATTACATCTGCGTCAAAAACGCAGGAAAGACTGTGTCAAAATCTAACTGAAGCGATATGTTCCAGTGCACACGGAACTAAGAATTTCCACCGTGCATACTATTTCATAAACATTCATGTATAAACACCTATGGACGACCCGAGGACATGTACACGCACACTAGCTGTCTGATGTTTCGTTTATGATTGTCGTGGCCTATAGCCAACATGTATCATACATACTAACACACTTATCCATCAGAGTATGGTGGGACTTGTAGGCGCGCCTATTGGGAAATCATCTACATTCTGAGCGTTATAGTCTTTTGCCGATATACGTTGGTAAAGGCCTATTTGCCGTTTTGATCTCTGTTCTGCAAAATTATTACTGATGAGATTATGAGAAAGAGGACTTTCTCCGTAATCTTATCAGAACAATATATTGAGCATTCGGTCCCAAAATACAGACAAACCAAGTGAAAATGAGTCCGGAAAACAATTGCTGATACTAGTGGTGACAAGACGCACAGCTCAGTGTCTTACTAGCATATAACAATAACAAAGGTATTTATATAGCGCTTTTTTGCCAGAGGATACAAAGCGCTGGGGGAGAATGCAACCAAAGCCAGGTAAATGAAGTATATAAACATTATGAGACCCATTATGTAGCACCTTTTTGCTAGGTGCTGTGGTGCATAATTGCTGCCACTGCCAGAAACACCGGGGCAAACCCCGTTACTGGGTTCTTTAACGTGCATTACACAACACACGGGACCTACGGCTTTACGTCCCATCCGAAGGACGAAGCAATAATGGTAAAGTGCCTTGCTCAAGAGCACAAGCACCATGTGATGATATGATTTAGGCTAATTGTTTTCCCCAGTCAAGGTGATAAGGTTTTATCCACCAAGAAAAGTACGGGCAGTTAAATTGTTGGTCTGACCGTGAAGCACTCTATACTGCATCTGTATGGTTAAAGGGAATATACATCATTTGCTTTTGCTGTAATTTTCAGAAATGGATGGAATTGGGGGGTTGGAAATATATAGCAAATATAGTTACACTGACTTTTTTGAGGTTTTGGGTTCAAAAATGCTATAAAAACAAAGAAAAACAATCATTTTCCTGTAGTCTGGTTCCCTGACTCCATTTAAGAAGAAACAGAGCAGTTTACATACATTGGGGAATTGTAAGGTCAGGGAACCAGTCTAGCTGGCTTGTACCCGTTCATAGGTGTGTAATCGATTGCAAACAAGTGCGATGGTCAATTGGGGCCAGTATTTGAAAAAAGCCAGTTGTTTCCAACGCTGATCGGCCGATCAGCGTTGGAAATTGATACAAAAATACCACTTTTCTTAAAAATGACAGTATACCAGGTGCCATGATTTTACAGGATGCTTTACACTGTCATTCAATAACAGTCCAGCAAGGTATTTCAAAATGATTTTGGTAGTTTTATTTTTTGAGGTTTGCAAATGTTGTATTTTCTCTTTTATGGTTAACCAATATTGCACTGTAGACACCCTTTAAAGGGAATATACATCATTTGCTTTTGCTGTAATTTTCAGAAATGGATGGAATTGGGGGGTTGGAAATATATAGCAAATATAGTAACACTGACTTTTTTGAGGTTTTGGGTTCGAAAATGCTATAAAAACCAAGAAAAACAATCATTTTCCTGTAGTCTGGTTCCCTGACTCCATATAAGAAGAAACAGAGAAGTTTACATATATTGGGGAATTGTTAGGTCAGGGAACCAGTCTAGCTGGCTTGTACCCATTCATAGGTGTGTAATCGATTGCAAACAAGTGCGATGGTCAATTGGGGCTAGTGTTTGAAAAAAAGCCAGTTTTTTTTTCCAACGCTGGTCGGCCGACCAGCGTTGGAAATTGATACAAAAATGCCACTTTTCTTGAAAATGACAGTATACCAGGTGCCATGATTTTACAGGATGCTTTACACTGTCATTCACTAACAGTCCAGCAAGGTATTTCAAAATGATTTGGTAGTTTTATTTTTTGATGTTTGCAAATGTTGTATTTTCCCTTTAAACCCTTAGAAGTACCCTATAAGTAGGCCTAGACAAGATGGGGGAACTGAGTGAAGGGAATTCTTAAACGGTTCATGCGATGAATTCTTCTTATGAACACATTTTGTGCAACTTTCTACTCCTCTGAAATGTATGAAAACTATTTGACATCCTATTTTGGATACATTTTATTGAAAAGTGCACTTCTTTAAACATTTAAAAATGTTCCACACTTTTCAGGCTGACGAGGGCGCTGTTGCTGTAATATGTCATATTTCAGGAAGATACTGTTCAGTTTAGGGCTTTTCTGTTCAAATTGTGTACCCAACCTTTGCTCATTGAAAACATTTGTGAGAAAAGTTTGCTCATCGGCTTTTAATACTGCCGTTTACTGACACAACGACGAATCACCACAAAAAGGTGAATAAAGGGTTGCGTGGGATTACATTGAGGGCCCTTTCGGGGACAGGCCAAAGTTAAAAGTTCCACTATGACATCAAGATGTATGACATTGGGGAAGTTTTGAGATGATGTCCGAGGTCAAGCGGTGAATATGTCTTTTCTTTCAAATAATTCGTTTATCAACTTCCCGTGATAAAAACTTCTGTTTGATCAAAACATCCTTTAAAATACAGTGAAACATGGATGTTTCCCTACCTCTATGAATGAACGAAAGTTGGATGCAATGGAAAAAAGATAAGATCACAATCATTATTTTTTAGAATTAAAGACGATTTAATTGTTCCTCAATATACAAAATACAATGTCGGACTGTAAAAATAATGCGTAAGTCTTGACTCAAATGATTGATATCACTTTTGTATTTGAATGCATGCGTGTACTAAGCTGAAAAGGCTTCAAAATGGCATTTCATGGGCAGCAGTAAAAATGGGCTCCTTTGGTAGAACATGCATAACTTTTGAAATTAAGGATCAATTTCAATAATTAGATTTTTTTAACGAGTGGAAGAACATGCTCTAATAATACATGCTTCATTGGAGCATCAAACGTAATTGCGGTTATAAGGGGAAATCATTAATCCAGGTCACTTTCTTTTTGACTAACCCTGTATACACCAAACCAATTTTAACAAACCACATAATATTATTCACAAGTAAAATCTTCATAAGTATTTATCATAAAAGTATTCATCACACGTATTTGCGTTTGGAAACATTCCCATATCGGGCCACTACTTGTCAACCTGTGCACAAACCCTATGAGCCTGGTCTGAAAAAGGTTTTTTTCAGTAAATACTTCAATATTTTCCCTGCTAAATTTGGCGTTTTAGGATTTATTATCACTTTATGATGGCTGATAGGTCACCGAAGGGAAAATTTAGTGATGGCCAGATATGGGAATCTGTCCTTGCGTTTGAACACTGTGTAAAAAGATTATATAATTATCATTATTATACATTATGTAGCTGTCAGCATCGCTATAGGCAACTGTCTTCGGGGGTGCCACTCCTATAAGATGACGCGACGTTACGGCAGAGGAAGGTGGTGCTTGGATCTCGGATGACCATCAAAGACGCCCTTTGGTCCAAACCGACCTAGTCGATAGGGGGAATAATTGTACAAAAAATGGATTCTCTGTTTGAGATCATCGTGAGACGAGACGCTAGTGGCTTCCTATAGGCGCGCGTGTTATTAGCCAAGTGATTCGGACACGGCCTTAGTTTGATGATGACGGCCAGAACCTATTGACCGAAACTTCTTTTAAACACAGGATGTTCTATAACTTTCACCCATGGCTATCACTTACTGTGAGCCACTTCACAATGTAGTGCGCCAGTTTATGTTTGTGGTCAACAAGACGTGGCTAATTATATGAGTGAAATGTCAGTAGACAACTTGAGCTTATTTGTTATAAATTGGGCATAGCGTTCTGCTGCCTTACAAAAATCACCATAATATATAGAAAGGAAAAGGGCAAACAGATCCTCGAATCGTACGCTTACAAAACTACTAACCGGGAAAAAAACTAAAAGTTTCAAATGTCCTGGGCTGCGAATTTGTCGACCATTTCCCACAATGCATTTGGAAAAATGAACTCTACTTGGAAAACTCTTGGGGGCGTAAAGCATTGTGAATCGCCCGAATTTGCACACGCACTCCAAGGTAAAACATTTGAACGCAAAGTGAAGATGTGTTTTTGTTTAGAATGTAATTGTCACTCACCACGATGACCTTTCTGGCTACTTTTATCTACATCCGGAGCATGTTCACCCTTGGGATCCTTGTGGGGGCGGGGGCCAGCCTTGCCGTCGTTTTCACCACGTCCCCTTCCGCTTTTACCTCGCTCGCCTCCATGTCCTCCTTTATCCTTCCCTTGTTCACCACTCCGACCTCCACTCTCACCACCATGATCATGACCGTCGCGGTGTTCGTCGTGATATCCATGATCCTGTGCAAAATGTCACCAGACGGACCCTATGAGAGCCGTGACGGACAGGCGCGGTTCTAGAGCCTATTTTATTTTTGGGAGGCTGGCAGGGGTGGATCCTTTAATTTTTGCAGGGATGCGTACTGAAATGGAGACCGGGTTTTTTCCGGACACTTAGGCCTCCGAGGGGCAGGGGGGGGGGGGCTCCGTACCATATTTTCAATGGGGAGTGCTGATAAAATTCCACAACCATGCACACTATATTACCTAATAAAGTGTATAAATTCCTCAAAAACGTCCTTATAACGCCTTCAATACATAGTAAAAAGGCATGTGTAGAAATTATGTTGCAGCTTTGTTAACAATGTGGTAATTCTAAGTATCATATAATATTTTGGTTATCTGTAGTAACTCTTCTTCATTTTTGCAGTGTTGGACCTTCCATAGTTTTGCAACCCATGGTTGGCAAAATGTGCACTTGCCAACCAAGGGTAGAAAGGTCTATAGCCTTGTTCCCATTTTGCAGTACGTAGGCTGGTTCGCCACGCTTATGCTACATTGTCGTTGTGATTTTGTACCAAGGGGGCGGGATTCCGACCTAGGCTAATTTACATACACCGGTAGGAATTCCTACAGGATTCCTTACTAGCTACCGGTCCGAAGCTCAAATGACGATAGAGGGACCGGGAACCAGTCTACCCTTATTCACCCCTACACTTCCCTTAACAACTTGATGCGCCATTTTGAAATTATATGGATTAAACAGGAAATACTGCGAATCTGTGGGCTTAAAATATAATTTTAATTATAACAGTACATACCTGCGGCTCGTGATATTTGCATCCGGGACATTGGTCGTCTGGTCCTTCGCCGGTCCTAAAATGCCCCGTGAAGTAAAAGCCGGCAAGGGCGCCACCAACTGCCAGAATGATGAGGCCGGCAATGACGAGGCCCACTACGTGCCTGCGTTGGTAGCGTCTATTACCCTGCCTCATATGCACGACGGTATCTCTCTCCAACTGTTGACATGAAAAGAAAATGGATCAAAATGGTATAGACAAAATAAAAGCTAGAGGCAGTTGGCACTTTAAAACTAACACTAAATGTTAGGATTTCATTTTGGAATATTGTTGACAGGAACAACAAAGAAATCAACCAACAAAACAAAAATAGAAACGAAAACGTTTGTGCATAAATAATAATAATATCGGAGTCTTATATAGCGCACGTATCTACCAACAATTAGGTACTCAGGGCGCTGGAGATATGTCTATTATTAAAGAAAGGTAAATAAAGTTAAATAACATCAACATCATTAACGACATCGACAAATAAAGACATCAACAACCGCGGCCATAACGTCACTGTCATTTTATCACAATGACATGAACAAATCACAATCAACGACAACGAGGGACAACGACCAAAAACTCACTGGAAAAGACAGCCAACCGCATTAGAAACAGCAACAAAACCGGACTAGAAATTCAAGAACAACGGCGACAGCAACTCTAAGAATCATCAGCAAAACGATGCCAACATTGCAGAAAATGTTGCGAACAAATTTGGGACAATTTGTATATTTAACTCTTATTTGAGTTTGTTTTACAATCGCCTCCGACCATGCCTTTCCTCAAAATTGTTGAATGCTACAGTCTTGCAGTAGGCCTAGTAAAGGCAAGCACGCATAGTTGTGAGTTTCAAATAATTATAGCTCATGTCCACTATCATGTTTACGCCAGGACTCAATATGAGGCAAAAAAAAAACAAACTAGTTTGTCGTCCAAACTTTTTCAAAAAAAGAGGGGCACTTTTTTTCAATGACGGATACAAGATGGCGGATGGTCTTATTTTTCGAAACATCCATTGCTTTGGTGAGAGCTTTACCAAGACGGCGGATGCTGCTCCTCAGCATTGCCATCACTTATCAAGACTAGCTTTTTAACCTCAAAATAGCTACTCATTCATGTCAAAAACAATGATTTTGAGATGACAAGATATTTCCCATGGTGAAAATATCAGAAAACATGGTAAATTTAACAGTTAAAAAAAAGGGAAAACTAAAAACAAAATCTGGCAGAAAAAAAAAGAATGCGGGCGGGGACGAGAAACTAGTGTTTTTTTTTTATTTTGCTTTAAATTTTTCTAGTTTTATGAAAATTGTCCTTATTATTTATATTGCCTTTTTACTTATAGACAAAGTGGAAATTTGTTTATTTCCATTTGTACAACAAAAATAGAATGATAAATTACAAGAAGTTGATAAATATAAATCAAAAAAATAAATGACTAAGAACAGATAGGGGTTACATCAAGGAGGTAAAACCCTCCTGCAACGGAGCAGCCAGACTGCTGGTAAGTGCTGCATTGGGTTTGAACTATGATGTTTATTTAGTGATACAGTTTCATTAACTTAAGCACAGTTATCAAGATTAAATAAAGATGTACATGTTTATGAGAAAAATAAATGAGATATATTTAGTGCCCTGCTACTTTGAGACATGTACAGGGTGAGTTAAAAAAAACCCTCAAATGTCGGGACCATTGTTTTAGTGAAGTTCTGCATGTAGCACTTTCAAAATGTAGGATATGAACGCCCAAATCATAAGCTTTCTTTTAGTACAGGAATCATTCAAATCACTCATGTACTTTTCAAGTTACGGAATTTTAAACACAACCGCCGTTTTAAGGTTCTGTCCACGGATCACAAAAAGTTCAGTGTTCTTTCAGCAAAACGAAAACAAATCACATTAGGATGTGTGTGAATTGTTTTTGTGTTGCTGAAAGAACGCACACTTTTTTGTGATCCGTGGACAGAACTTGAAAACGGTGGTTGTGTTTAAAGCTCCGTAACTTAAAAAGCACATAAATGATGTAAATGATTCTTGTACTAAAAGAAAGCTTATGAATTGGGCTTTTGTATCCTAGATTTTGAAAGTGCTACATACAGAACTTCACGAAAACAATGGTCCCGACATCTGGTTTTTTTTTTCTCGACTCACCTTGTATAACAGTTCAAGTTAGTACAGATGAAATCATTGTATTTAATTAAATAGAACTCTTTCAGATGTTTTATCAAGTGCTTCCTGGAAAAACTAGTGAATTTTTCTTTAAGACAAGTAGGAAACGAATTGACAAGTTTTGGAAGAATAATCCGATAATTGGATGAAGCAACATCAACTCTGGTTATTCCATATTAAGACTATCTTGTCTTGTACAGAGAGAATGAAATTCTCGGTACAAAAGGAAAAAAAATGGATCACTTAGGTTTTCTGGAAGCAAATAATGAAAATAATCTAAATAAAGAATTGCAATTTGTGCATTGTAGATATCTTCCAACTTAAGAATTAAATGTCTAGAACAAAGAGGTGTTGTACGAGCATTGTACGTGGCGTGCGAGCATTACGAATACACTTGTTTGTAAAGTATTAAACCTTTTATAAAAAGAGTATTCTCCACGATTAAGTTATTTTTGAATTGATCCCAAAATTGTTGATGACTTACAGGGACTTTGACCGTGTCGTTCAGCAGCGGTTCCCTCGGGTGATAGGGCGGTTTTTGTCCCTGCAACTCCGTCGCAGTATTCATGGCCAACTTCACCATCGTGCCAAGCCGCCGAAAAAATTGTCTACGAACCACTTAGTTGCAGCACTCCGGTAACACAGGGAACAGAATCAAATTAAGCAGCCAAACTCGAACAGAATTTAGAAACAAAATGGCGACTTCAACAAATCTATTGCATATTAACTGCCAAAACTTTGCTTATACACGAGTGGCATACATCGCTGAATAGTCATCGCCCCAAAATAAATTCAGTATACGAAGGCATTCAAAAGTCACGCGAGCGAGACCCAACAATGGCTACAATTGTCGCTTCAGGAATTTTCAATTCTGTTTATAATAGGACCGACCTCAGTCTGTTTGTACATTTCACCTGTCGGAGAAATTCTGAAGCGGGTCAGACTGTTGACAAAATACCAGTGCGTGCAAGGCGCGATTGTGTTTATGATCGATGACTTCTCTCAATTCACCACGCCCGATTCCAAATTTTCTGTGACGGGGTTAAGCTCGTCTATCGTTTCCAAAGCACCCACAGACTAAGGCCAAAAAAAGTCTCCGGTTTCTGGTATGGAGCTTGCCCAAAAAGTGGTGCGGCGACGCGGCTTTTTTTTTTTTTTACCTGATTGTTTTGCTTCAAATGTCGGCTGATGACTGCAAATGGTGCCCGACTAAACTTAGTGCATTATATCGGAGTCCAGAGAGGCCACATAAAGCTTATTCTCGACCATAACCCAATCTAAAAACACGTTAAAATTGTGCAGCAGCAAGATTCCAGTCAAACCAGTGAGTTTGGCGGTTTTGAGACATCATCTTTCATTGAAAAAAAAACTTTTTCATTTTGCCGACGCGGATGGCTACGGCGACGCGCGCGCATACCAGAAACCGGAGACTTTTTTGTTTGGCCTTAGAGAATTGCTCAGAAAAAGGGAAAGGGGTATTTTTGGATGGTGGGGGTGTTTCAAGGTGTAAATTAAAACCATAAAACACAAAATGGAGGTCCTAAATTACAACAAAAGACGGCTTTTTAATATGTCTAATATTTTTCAGGAACTGTATTCGCTAAAAAAAGATTGATATTGTTTACTTCCCTTTGGGATAGTGGAGGGGGTGTTTGGTTAGGACATGGACTGGGCTAAGGGTTAACCCCTTCTCCCATCGTATATCGCACCGCGTCTTTTAACCAACAATTTCTTGAACTCGAGAGCTATACAACAAACACAGTTGAGGGTTTAGATAAAACAAAAAGACGAACAGTTGAGTTAGAGAATTAATTGAGGTTCCCTCTGGAATGTGTAGTTTTTCTTGATTATTTTATTGACTATAAGTCATCTAGGCCCCAAATAAAAATTACAAAACTGTAATTAAAGTAATCTTGAACCGATAAATTCCATAATATAACATCTGCTGTCAAATAAGCACCTGTGATTTTTTTTAATAACTTGATACAATTTCAGATGAAAACTTTGTCGATTTTAACGACCTAAATAATCAAGAGTTATAAAACTACAATTTCCGATATTTTTTTATTTCAGAGCGAGTATTAAATAAAGATTTATGCAATAAAGATTTATGTATGACGTAGCTATATCTGCATAGTGTCGATCCTACTTCACTCTACCTGTAGAGTTTAAAGTACCTTTCGATCAGTAAAAACGTCAAATATCATTTAAAAATACCAAAAAGAAACATTTGAAGAAAAAAAAATTTAATGGCACTGACAGACATCACTCTGGTAGCTGGTATTGGCCACGTCAATATGCTAACAATGTTGCATTTACTGATACAAAGTGGTAAGCACTACGAACATCCTTCATTGACATTAATGGTATTTAATGACACGCCATCTCAGAATCGTTTTTTTTTTCATCTGAGCTTTTCCGGTTACGGTTGTCGAGATTCAAGTAAATTTGTTGAGTTGCTGATCAAAAAGAGGCTTGGCATGTCATATATTTGCTTGAATTACGCAATCGCTGCATCGCTGACTGACACCAATGAGCTGAGATGGGTCATTCTATAGCCTACATTTATGGTACAAAGTGTGACATTCATCCTGTCCCTATTACCTAGGTAATTTGCAATTTGTCATTTAAGTTTCACTAAGAATGACTTCAAACGATAGGTCGATTGCTATTCATAATCACTCTTGGAGAACGATGGATTAAGGACTGCATCCGCAATTACTATTAACTGTCAGGTGTAACAGGTAAAAGGTTACTGGACATGTTCCAGAATTTGTTTTAAAAATCAAAGTTCAAAACTGCACTTTATACATATTTTTTTTCTTTTGAAATGGACTTCAAATAGCTGGACACACAACACTTCAAAATATTTTGCAGGGCAGATCCACCTTACGAAGCTGTTGCTGATGCCTACCAGCCGTAGAGGGCGCTGGTTCGGTCACTACGGACGGCCGTCGGGAAAGTGATCACCCTCGTTCCCTAAAAGAAAAAGGAAAATGCGACATCTTAATGCAGTAGCCTGAAAGATAAACATTTCGAAGTATAAATTATTTACTCCCGCGTATCACAGAAACACAAACACCAGACCTGTGACTCCAGACGCGAGGAATTATTAGGCCCTTTTTGGGCGAATGAGGGCGCTGTATCTGACGTCATGCTGTAATAAAAACGTGAACAACTGACGTTCAGTTATGGCCAAGTTCGCGCAAGGACTATAGTTGACCAATGGTTAACTAACGTTTGCCCGAACTCTGTCTAGTCGACGATGGTTGACTACGCTAGTCGACTATTTGGAACCAGCCTACTGGGGTTGGTTGCTTCGCTGGTAACCAATAGCCGCGCGCATCCATAACGCTAGCAGAGAGTCAGGATCCAGAAGTTTTGCGATGACATTTTGACCAGCGTTTGACTAGTCGACTAGAGACGTTCGCACATTGCTATCAGTGCGCAGGCGTAAGGTACGTCACAAATCAACCACTAGTCGACTAATGGTCCTTGCCCGAACTTGGCCCTGATGGCCATACAATTAAAACTTTTTTACAATCCATAGTTGTTAGATTGAAGTAAATGTTACTAAACTATTCCAACGAACCAAAACGTCTCTTCTGTTTGTGGCCATACAAATCACGATCACGTACCTGGGTACCGGTGTCCGCCGCCATCTTCTTCGCCTCCATGACCACCGTTGTTACCGTCATCCCCACCACCGTGACCATGGCCTCCGTGGTCACCATCGTCCCCACCACCGTGACCATGGCCTCCGTGGTCACCATCGTGCCCACCACCATGGCCTCCGTGTCCGCCGTGAGTCCAGTTGCCGTGCGGCCCGTGGGATCCCCCGCCGTGGTGTGGTCCATCACCGTGGGATCCACCGCCGCTGTGAGATCCCTCATCCTGGTGCTGGCAACAGAAATGGTTGCATTGGAAATATTGAACTCGTTGGCAAGGTACAACTCCAGTCCATCATAAGTCCGGCTAAAGTATAATTCACAAGTCCAGTCACGAGTCCAGTCACAAGTCCAGTCACAAGTCCAGTCAAAAGTCCAGTCACTTGAAGTCCAGTCACAAGTCCAGTCACATGCCCAGTCACAAGTCCAGTAACACGTCCAGTCACAAGTTCAGTCAAGTCCAGTTCAAGTCCAGTCCAAGTCCAGTCAAAAGTCCAGTCACAAGTCCAGTCACAAGTCCAGTCACGGGTCCAGTCCAAGTCCATCAAAAGTCCAGTCAATTAGGAGGAGGAATTGAATTAAAATCTCATTTTGTGTTTGACATTTCAAGTTTCTGACCGGGGAGTTTCGATGGGAAGGCGGGCGTGCCCCTATACCCCCTTACGCCATTGACCCCGTCCCCTCCCAGAAGACAATGCTCACCGTGTCATCCCAGTTGAAGCAGTCCTCCCAGGATTTGTGACGGCTCAGGAAGACCCCCAGCAGAGTGGCCCCGACGACGAGGAGAATAACCACGCTGATTACGGAGATGCAGACCACCGTCTTGGAGCAACAGCGACCTCTCTTGACGGCAACAGGGGCATAGGGCTTGGCCTAGAACCAAAACAGGTGATTAAAAAAATGCACCAACTTGGGGGGGGGGGGATCGCCACACCTCCTCCACAGCGAGTTTGTTACTTTCCCAGCATTGAATAATGCCGGTGTCATTATGAAAATCGGACTCATATGAAAATCGGACACTTTTTCCCTTTTATTGGTTAAACCATCTCACGTGACCGGTCCCCTCCTAATTATCTATGCATGAGCATGCGCAATATCACCAATGAGTCCGTATTTCATAAAACCTAAATTCATGCTACACCGGTACCCAGTTTAACACCTGGGTTGAGAGGAGTAATTGTAGTAATGCACCTTACTCAAGGGCACAAGACGCATGGCCACGGCCCCCAATGAGTATGGCCCAATCGCTAACGAAAGGGCACTCCGTTCCTGTGAACACAGGTTCGTCCCCTTTACTTTAACTTGAATATTAAAGTACGCTGAGCTCTCTGGTCTTTGGGAGAATTGCAGCTCGAAAATTTTGACCAGCCCGACGGACCAACACACCTAAGACATTAGGCGAAAGTGTGTAAGCCGTTTCGGTGTTTTGCAAAAAAGGGAGATTTTTGTAAAAGAATACGTTTTATAACGTCCTTACTAATTTTCTCAGTTGCTATGCTCATATCAACATAGTAACCAAGGCCACAAAATGCTAGCAAGGAATTTATGTTGTTATTTCTGGCGAAAACATTGGAGGAGCTCATCAAAGTCTGTAACAATAATATGTATTTCTCTATATAGACAATTTTCTTTAGTCAGATCTGTATGCACAATGTTTAAACTTTTTCTAATATTACTATTTAATGTCATATTTTGTTTTGTTTTTTAACTCGGTAGGCCTTTAACTTTTTTTAAATGTATTTTTTTTAAAATGTAAATCACGTGCAATTCAGCTGTGGCTGCCATTCGTAATTTGTTAATAAACCCATGTTGAAATGAAATCAGCCAAATATTTCATGTACTATATTATTATTATTTTTTTTCTTGCCTAATTTGTCAGTAAAGCTGGTGTACAAGCCGCATACAAAATTAATACATAAAACAGTGACGACATAATATGTGACTGACATAAAACTGTATTAGTTCATTGTTTGCTTACTGCAGGTTTGGTTATTTACGTACCCCGACGGCCCTTTTGTGTCCATGGTTGACCTTTTGTCAACAAAGCCTGACATCTGGTACCGCTCCGTGCCACAATAAAAAATTAACATCCGCGATAATGATTAACTTGATGCTTTGTGCCTACGATTTTTCATTGTACACAATGGTGAGTGTGCGATTTATTCGTGCCAAGTTTTTTGGGCTCGCATTTACCTAAATATCACAGAGCAAAACTCCGCAAAAAAATTGGACGTTAAGGGAAGAATTCAAAATACAACAGGCGGTAGAGGGTTAACGCCTATAGTCATCCTTAAAACCCCGTAAAAATCTTGTCAGCATTCGAGGTAAATCTTGAGTTGCCTCTTGCTTAATTTGTATTTCCCCCCAACAGTTCCCTTGAAATAGATAAGAAGTTTGGTCATCAAATGGATCTCAAATGATTGCTGTGTTAGCAACTTCATTCGTCCATCTGTTTCTTTGCGTTTTGGTAATTGTTTAAAACGAACAACTCGAGTAACTTACAGCGGTTGAATCGAATTTGTACAGGTGGCTTACAGATGCTAACGCCAAGTTCATGACAACGAAGGCGAACATTACATTACAAACGACGACACAACATTATATTGGCTTCAAAAACAAAACAACCAACAGAAGTAAAAAAGGTATGATGGACAAGCAGACACAAAAGCACACTGACCACGGTGACTGCTCTCTGTTCCGACACCCCTATGTTCCGACAACCCCCATAGCATAAGATTGTGTAACTCCCGGTTAAGGTTAGGGTAGGGTGCACCGTTAGGGTTAGGGTTAGGGTTAGGGTTAGACTTACGGTTATAGGGAAAGGATTAACATCGCTATTGGGGAACATAGGTATTGGGGAACATAGGTATGCACCCGTCGGAACACAACTGTGTCGGAACATATATACAGGGTGTTTCAATAAAAAGGAAACCCAACTTTGAAGAACCAGTATGGACAGACTAAATGTTTACTGGCTATAAAACTGGTATCATCTGAAAGTGTAGGCCTAATCTCTATGCTTTTCAATGATACCTTGTTTACATTTCCAGGGACATGCATCACTGAGCGCCACTGTCATGAGATTTTGATGCAAAATTGCAGTTGGTTCACTTTCATGTCAAACACAACAGGCAAATGGTGTGCATGAGAATAAGTATTCAAGAAGAAGACACGAGTGCATAAAAAGAAACCAAAAAAAAACAAGTCGGGTTGGTTTCAAAATTGGATTTTATTATTTGCCATGGTTTTCTCGTTTTGACCAAGCCACGTTCAAAACAATGTGCCATTTTCCCAAGGATTAACATTCAATCAAGCCATTTCACATACATTTCGGTAACAATAGGCACACCCTGCCCAGTGTTTTTTTTTTAATGAAAGTGAACCAACTGCATTTTTGCATCCAGTTTTCAAGACAATGATGCTCAGTGACGCATGACTCAGAAAACCTAAACGCGGTATCATTGAAATACACAGAGATGACGCTTTGAGATGATACCAGTTTTATAGCCAGTAAACATATCGTCTGTCCATACTCATTCTTTGAAGTTGGGTTTCCTTTTTATTGAAACACCCTGTATATATGTTCTGACACAGTTGTGTTCCGACGGGTGCATACCTATGTTCCCCAATACCGATGTTAATCCTTTCCCTAACCCCTTCTTTGAAGTTGGGTTTCCTTTTTTTGAAACACCCTGTAGATGTGTAACCCTAAACACATGAAGAACTCAATATACAGCTAACTCTGGTATCATCTTATAAAACCGAACGATAACCTATAATGGAATATCATTAAAACCAGATTGTTCGGTAAACATGACTGTGAAGACACCGGGAGAGACAGTGACATGGAATCGGACAGGCGAGACATACACAGAAACCTCGTCAGATTGGACTAAAAGAAAACTTGCACCCATCCTGGCTACGATTGGGATCTGCTGGGGGTGTAGGTTTGACGGTTTTCTTTTTGAAATCAAATTTGCCGAGAATGTGGGCTTACTCACCGGGATCGGAACCTCGACGCTGTCGGGTGACTTCTTCACCTGGTCCCCCTTTTGCCCGTCAACGTTTACGGACAATTGCACCATCTTCGGACCCCTTGTTTACTATCGGTAATTTCCTAAAAACAATTCCACTTTTCAAACCCAGACAGAACCTGGAACAAGTACGTACGGCCCAGTGTGAATAAATTTACGTTATGACAGCAGGTCGACTGTGCAGTATTTTGAGTCTCGATCTCTTAGTCTGGTGTCCACCCCATTCCAATCTTCGCTACTGACCGGCGGGTTGCCAGACGAACTCGGAACCGAACTTTGATTCTGTTTAATCAGCAATTGGGTCTGTAAATATTGTGTGATAAATATGCATAATGATATCGCGTTTTCAATTTGTGGAGCTGATAATCACAAAAGCCATTAAAAGTGAGTGCAAAGAAGAGGACTTGAAACTTGTTTTTTTAGTGCAGGGGTCATAAATATGACAACAATCGACACTGCTATGGCAACGTCTTTTTGTCTATATTGACTGTGGTCGTCCGTGCCGGGCCCCGAAATATTTGTTTCCCAAATGAGATTGGACGATATCAAAAGAGGGCGCGCTCTCTCTCTCTCTCTGCATTATGCATATTAATGCTCTCTGTGGCTTCAGAGAATTAGGCCGTGTCCGAAACGGGCTTCCAGAGCTACGGCTACGTCTATTGTCAGCGCGTCCCCGCGTATTTTCAATGGGCGCAGACCTAGACCAAGCTCTAGACAACTGATTCGGTTGTATATTAAACAAGGATTCATAAATACCTCAGACAGTTTAGCCATTCCTATTGGTCGAGAGCCCGTCACGTGGCCGGTATTAAACGGATGATAAAGACATGGCTAGCTGGTCTTAAACACTTTTCCAGTGTCACAATAAAATGTGGACTCCTAAAAATCCAGTGCCTCTTATCGTTTCATTGGTTGAACGTTCACAATCCTCACGTAGGCATGCGCAACACTACCAGGGAGTTAGAATTTTATAGTTCTAAATTCAAAACGCAACGCGCCAGGTGCGTTCTGCGCGACATCGCGTAGAACATGATACGCGCGCGTCAATCTCCATAAAAGGGTTGTTTTCATCCTACTCGCCAGCTGAACACTCCATTATTTTGCAGGAGGGATGTTTCAAAAAGCATAAAGTGAATTTTTTGAACAAAATCGGGATGTTTTGAACGAATTATATGATTTTTTTTTACCGAAAAGGTATTTATGAATGGGAATAAATATGTACTCCGTCGGTATTTATCACTCTGTTTAATACCACTTAGAGTCTGGGTGCTGATAATTACCCTCGCCTCCGGCTCGGGTAATTATCAGCACCCAGACTCTAAGTGGTATTAAACAGAGTGATAAAAACCTCCGGAGCACACATTTATTCCCTTAATAATGGTGTTTAAATCACCGACGATTGGCAGCTGATTCGTGGACTGGTTGGAAGTAGTCCTGACTTCTAATCGGGTGACCCGAGTTCGAATCCCAGTGAGCGTTTTTCACTTCTTCTCATTTTACCTTTGAAATAACTAAAGTGAGGAAGGAACATTCCTCACAAGACGTAAAGCCTATCTTGGGTTTGTGTTGTGGAGAACAAGGCATTTAATAGACAATCAAGTAATGGACCAATCAGAAGATGGGAAACGGATATTAGGGGAAAAAAATTCGCTGCCGGGCCAGAAAAATACCCAAACTTTCTGGAATTAAATATCTGCATTGAGTCACTATATAGCCTATAATGGACCGATCCAGTAAGCCCCGCCCACTGCGCACGTGGGCAAATTACCACGTGCTCCTCTCCAATGCCACACTGCATTCTCCTGCCGCGCGCATCATACGCGCGTGCACGCATGTCGGACTTCTGTGCACGCACGTCGGACATAAATCACGGCTGTGATTGGTCAGTACACCATGGGGCGGTGCTTACTGGATCGGTCCCTTATGTCGTTGTGGTTTTCTTAGAAGTTTTTAGGAACTGGCAGGAGCTTTTATGCGTCACTTGGTGGTCAGTCAGTCTGTCTGTTTGTCTGTCCTTGAAAATTCACCAAACGTATGGTGTTCCATATTTGCCATCGGCGTCGTTTCTTTTCGGCGTCGCCTTTTTAAACTCTGGCAGGGATCCTTTTGATCGATTTTATGCAAGACTTTAAAGTAAGGCATCAGGTGCTAGCCCATATCTTGTTTCTGTCTGCATACGTTGTAAGCTTGTACTAACAACGAATGTATAGAGTCAGTATTGGCTAGTACCTGACGTCTCCAACATGTTACTCCATATACAATCATGCAGGGACCAGCCTGTTGGCCACAAGAAATGAAACATGTTTTCTTTTAATTACGTATTCAGGGGCGGATCCAGGAATTTGTGCAGGGGGGGGGGGGGTGTTTTCATCATAAAATTAATGCCAGGTTTTTGTTGTTCGGACACTTAATTGGCTCTTCAAAATCAATGCAGGTGGGGGTGGTTTCAGTGGTGGCGCTGTTCAAATCCGACGATTATTAATACTATAGTACAGGGCGGTGTATCTCCCCGTTGCCCCCCCCCCCCCCGCCCCCCCCCCCCTCCCCCCGATCGCGACTGGTATCGAACACAAATTCATGCAGTGTAGTTCGATACTTATATTGATTCTGCTGGTTTTCTATTTCATGAACTGCAGAAATATGGACTACTTGAAATTGGATGAAATCAGGCAAACTCAGCTGCCGGATTCTTACGCCTCACTGCTTTCTTATTTTGTTCATGCGTGCATGAATCTGCATAATTAGTGAACTGGTCTATTGTCTGAGCCTGAAAGCCCATTGAGGGCGCTGTCGGAGTTGAACGGGGCACGCCTTTCAAAACCAGGGCATTGGAAGGATTCAGATTAAATACAACGAAAAAAGCCTCCAACTTGATTTTTTTTTAAACTTCTTTTATTATTTATCTACATGTACAACTGCTTTTTACGATAGTTATTATGTCATCAATATTTTGTAACCAAATGTACATCAGAAGTTGGGACAGTTATTATAACTAGTATAATCACGCCTACTTCAAGAGCCCATGTAATGCATTTTTTTTTTAATGTAGTCCTTGTGAATGCACAGGTGTGTATCATTTAACCTCATTTTTCAATTTTCATTTGGCAATTTCAAATTAACAGCATTTTGGTGCCTTTTGGTTTTTATGCTTATGCGAATATGCTTTGTATATTCTTGATCAAAAGTGTGATATCATTTCAGGCAGAAACCTTAACCCTAAATTAGGCCGGGGCGGAATGCGCGCTCCCCCTCCCCCCTTTCACCTCCCCCCCCCCCCGCGATACCCTTGCAAAAAAAACTGTTTTCGCGACTCGAGCTGTCCGGATTTTTTAGCCTCGAGTTTAACGCATCTTTTGACATCAGCCTCAATTTTGCAGAGAGCGTCATATACATTTTAAGGTTCTTATTAAGCAAATTTTATGCCGTCCTGTCGAATTCTACATAATGAAAAAAGAAGTTAGAGGAATATATTTACAATGTGATTATGTTTACATTATGCTAGGTAAATTCTGGGTCATTTTTTTTTACTTTTCTTTAAAACTTTTTAAAAATGTATGGCACAATAAAAAAAATATATATAGGTTTTGCAGGTTATATTAGGTTACTTTACAAATAAAATAGACTCCCAAGAAGAAAACGGCCTAAATGTTTAGAAAAAAGGTTTAAAGGTTTTCAAGTTTTTGCTGTGAGGCCTCTTAAAGACATCACATTTCATAGGAGTCCAAATTACATATCACACATGAATAAAAATCGTGTGTGCGCACATGCGCAGAGGGACATACAATTCAGCCGGCCCACAACTTGCATGCCGTGTAGGGTTAAAGGGAAGATACAATATTTGCAAATATAAAAAACCGAAATGATCAAATTATCACGAAATACCTCACCGGATTGTTAGGGAATGCAGTCTAAAGCATCTTGTAAAATCGTGGCTCCTGGTGTGCTGACATTTTCAAGAAAAACTGTTTTTTTTTTCCAACGCTGGTCGGCCAACCAGTGTTGGAGAAAATTTTTTTTTTTTTCTTCAAGAAATGCTTCTGTTTTTATTGCACACTTTCTCCGCAATTGATTACACACCACACCTGTGAAGGGGTACAAGCCAGCTAGACTCATTCTCTGACCTTCAAATTACCCAACGTCCATAAATTGCAACGTTTCATAGTCAGTGGGTTCAAGGAACCAGACTACAAGAACATGACTGGTTTCTTTGTTTTCCAGCATCTACAAGCCCAAAACGTGAAACAAGTCATAACAATATTTGCCATAACATAACTAATCCTCCCAAACCATTCATCTCTGAAAATTGCAGTTTAACAATAATATGCACTTAGAAAGCAGGAGGTCTTGGGTTCGAGTCCCACCCGAGTGATTTTTCCAACTTTCACTCGGGAGGTAACACACTGAGTATACAGTGTTTAAAAAACGTCGGTGAAGGGCAAAACCTAATTTGATTTAACAATATTTGCTATGACATACTTATTACTAATCCTCCAAATCCATTTATTTCGGAAAATTGCAGCAAAAGCGATTGTTGTACATTCCCTTTAACGCAATGTTAGGTATAAAAGACATGTGGAGAGGACCGCCAAATTGATCTTGATCGAGGTAGCTTGGCTGGTAGGTGTCGTAGAGGGCGCCCCAAGCTCCCCGTTGCACAGGTTATCGGAGCAGCAGGTCGTGCACTGACCTGTGACGTCACAGCCCGGCACACAGGCCCCCGTGCCACCGGCGTCGGAGAAGCACTGGCGGGTAATAATCTCGGCTCCGCGAATCGACAGTGTCGTCACCTGTATAGCGATTATCAAAACGAAAGACACACTATAACTTGAGTGTTCAAAACCACGGTATTAAGCTGATTGTTCACATTGAAGAGAGCGAAGAATATACCTTTATCATGCTGCCCGACATTTCAGTCATGTTTCCTGTATCAATAACAGTACTGAATAATGATTTGTTTTGTGCAAAGAGGAACCAGACTATTTTTTCCTTCCAGCCTCGCTTTGGTTTCGTTGATTTGAATGGGAAATCTCCAAATAGCCACAATATGATAATGGTCTATAATGGTCTGAGTATCTCCCGTTGTCCAACGTAACGGAGCCCTCTCCATATCCGTCTGATAATTATTATCTGAGCAATGCAAATTTTATGCGACCCAGCGCGCCGGCCTATAGGAGTCGACTTTAGAAATCGTGACGTCATCTCGATCAGAAATGTGAACTAAGCTATTGGCCAAAAATAATTGGTTCTCATTTTTTTTTTAATACTACGACGGCCGGGTTTCCTATGACCTGATTATCATACAATGCGCCCGCTGACATTTCGTCAGAATCTCGAGGGCAACACGCAGTTTTGTTTTGAGTAATTAATCCTCGAACCTGCCATCATAAATCTTTGCTGTGCAGAGGTCTAAAGACAAGGAATGTGCCGCATACTAGCACAGATAAATCATGCAGTCTCGACCAACGCTTTAAACTCAACCAAAAAAGAGAACCTCCCCCCTTCCAATACTTGTTTGTCTAACTCAAAAACTACTGAGCACCTCTCGCTCAAATAACGACTGATCAGTAGGCCTACAGAAATTCCTTAACAATCCAGCCGTACTCTATTTGGCCCCAAAACAATGATAATGTGTACAAAGTTATGCAATTTATGACGAATGATACCGAAAACTGCACTTTTGTATACGTGCAAGTTGTGGTTCACACTCAACTTTTATGGCTGGATTGCTAAGGAATGTATGTATTGATAAGTCGTAATTTGAGCAAGATGTGCCCAGTACTTTTTGAGTTAGATAAAAAAAAAGTCTTAAGGGGGGACTTTCTTTTTTGGTTGACTGAGTGTATTAAATTAATCTTATTAATTAAAACTCACCCCGCACACTCCGTCACATGGAAGCGTGGCAACGCTTCCATTTTTCGGGTCAAGACAAGTCGGGCTCCACGCCGTGCTGTCCGAGCGGTACGTACACAGGTAGCAGTGCAGGATGTCTGCAACGCCGTCCGCAATGGATCTGTTGTTACAGAGGTCGCCTTCGCAAGAGTAGCTACACACTCCCTTCTCGCCGGCCGCCCCAGCGTTCGTAACGCAGCCGGGACTGTTGCCCCCCTCGCGCGGGTTGCAGGTTCGAATAAACTGACCTCTGTCGTAGTTCGCCAAAACCTGCATAGGTTATTAAGGATTACGAATGGATGCTTTTGAGACACCTGGTGATGTTCAAAATGACGCAAATAATAGAAAAAGGACCGGTGTCTTTGCTGCCACCATCTCAAACGTTTCCCATTATAGGGTGAAAAAAGGCACAATGTAAAAAAGGCGCCACCAAAGCTTTCGCACGTTTACACGATGTTACCATTCCATTTCCCCTTTTATTTTTTAAATTCGGGCGATTCACAATGCAGTGCGCCACGAAGAGTTTTACGTGGACATGGGCGTCGCGAGGGGGGGGGGGGGGAAGGGGGGGCACTTGTGCCCCCCGTGGAAAAGCAAAAAAAAAAAAAAAAAAAAAGGAAGAAAAAGAAAAGAAAAAAAGAAAAGAAAAAGAGGCGCGAAGACAAAGTGGTGTAAATTTAATGAGTGGGGGGGGGGGGGGGGGGGGGGGGAATGTCCCTGCACCCCTCTAAAACTGATAAATCGAGAATGTGTTGAGAAATACAAGCATTTTTTGGCAAATTTTTTTTTTGCCCCCCTCTAGAAAAATTCCTGGCGACGCCCATGTACATGGAGAGTCAATTTTTTTAAGTTTACGGTCGTCAAAACATGGCCCTGAACGAGTGTCCGTTACTTGAGCTAATATGTTATAGATTTGGGCATAGCGTTCTGCCACCTTACAAAAAACACCATATTGATAAAAAGAAAAGAAAGGAGCACACGTATACTCGAATTACACGTTTACGAAACTACTGGCTGGGAAAAACTAACAATTTCAAATGTCCCGCGCTGCGAATTTCTCGACCATCTCCCACAATGCACTGGGAAAAATGAACTCTCCGTGGCAAATTCTTGGTGGCGCACTGCATTGTGAATCGCCCGAATTAAAGCATAACGTAAATTTACCAAATTGCTTCAATAGTTGTGTTCCCCCCCCCCCCAAGTGTTTGCACCCCAAAATGGCGTCAATATATACAGCCCACTCTTTGCCAAAAGATTATAGCCATTTTTTTTTTAACATCAATGGTAAAAAAAAATGCTGTCTGGAAACTAAAATCCAGTCAGCTTTGTAACGATAACATTTTGTGAGGTGCTCTGCCAAATAAGACAATACTGGGCACAGACCTTAGAGGAGAGAAATGCAAAAAGTCAAATGGGGATGAATTTTTTTTTATCGATACTTGTAATCTTGGATACAATGTCTACTGCACATATTTTAAAGAAATAGTAAAATATTGTTGAAACATTTTTTTAAGGAAAAACAATTGGCATCTTTTTGGATACTCTAAATGCCTTTTTTATCAAATGAAAAGTTTGGGGCCCAAACGCGCAAAAGATCACTGTGTGTGTGAGACAGCTCCACAGCTTGTCCAATTGACCTTGCAATTTGCATACCACACGCAACACGCAGGCCAGCCTACCACATAGGATCCTCCATTCTCGAAAGGTACATCGTGCACACTGAGGGACGTCCTTCCGTATACACCACATACATCTAGCAACAAGGGCGGATCCAGGGGGGGGGGGGCAAAGGGGGCCATGGCCCCCCCCCAAAAAAAAAACGAAATCAATTTTTTTTATTTTTTTTATGTGACATCGCAATAACGGCAGGCAATGAGTACACCACCATCTTTTCCTCAAAAAAAAACAAACATTGGTTAAAGTGGTCAGAAATTGCCTCAGATCGCACCACAGAGCATCTAGAATCCAAACATTTTTCGGGACCCTTAAGCGGGCCCCGAACCCCCACGCCGTAATTTCTTTGACCCACTTTTTGGGGGAACCAAAATTTTTTTTGGCCCCCCCCCCAAAAAAAAATTGTGTTCTGGATCCGCCCTAAGTTGTCTAGCAAGCAGCCTTTGTCTAACTTTTTTGACATTTCAACGATCCGTTCACATATATTTTGTCGCAAACCACGAGTGTTTCAAACACATAAAATATGCATAAAATGACATTGTTAAATGAACAACTTACAAGAAAACAAACTGGACTTTAATAGGCAAACATCGTTATACTAACTCAGTGCCAATGGCAAGTATAAGTGCATTAAGTAAAGCTTCAGCAAGTCCCTGAACATTTGTCACAAAAGTGAACATTGAGGCCTAGAAAATACACGTCAAACTTAAACGAAATTAGTGGTCATCATGTGCATGTAGCCATGTAACATAGAGCTGTATAATACAGCTCTATGACATGTACACGTATGTACATACTGCATGATGATCCACGGCAATATGGTAATACCCCCCCCCCCCCCCCCCCCCCCAAGTCAGTGGAACGGCCCAACACAACAATGCGGGCTTAGGTCACGTACACTCACAAGACTGACCTCTGCAACAAATCCAGTCTTTGGGGGAAAACTTTGACGAACAAATGATCAGTGGTTTCTTCACTAATAAAATCGAGCTTAATATGAATGGAAAGAAAATTTCATCTTCTTTACAAAACCGCTACACCCAGTATGCTCTGACATTGGGTTCTTGAGATACGATGAGATAAACAACCGAAGGTCTCTCACAAACTGTCATTTTCTGTTCCGCTCCATAGACAATTGCCTCATACCCCACATTTTCAACAACAAAAAATGATCAGTGGTTTTTCTGCTTTTCCAAGCCAGAAAAAAATAGACTTAAAGCCAGAAGAATGAATGTTCATAATCTGCAACCCCCAGATTTGTGCGACCGTCCGTTCTGAAGATACAAGGAATTTAGTGTAAAAAATGGGCTATCTTTGTGGTCATTTCCCACGTTAAAGCTTGTGTGGACATTTCCGGTTGAGCAGATGCGCGCTACTTTTCATTATATTACACTGTTTTTTACTTTTTTGACATGTCAAAATGATGTGAATTTTAAGAAGCTATAGCTTGCCAATGGAATGTTCGATTGAGGTGCAACAAACAGTATTGCAAGGAGACTTTTATTCTCTTTCATAACACCTTTCTCATTTTAACCTCTGCTCAGTTATGTCTCATTTTGCCAGAACGCCTCACATTTTGTTTTTCGTCAACGGCTGCAGTGAACGGATCTCTACCGTGGTTTAAAGTAATTTCATGGGTTCAAAGATCGGCATATAAAACAGGCTGGCTGACTGAGGCCTGTCATCAATGATTAAGTGGGTCAAAAAAATTACGGCGTGGGGTTCGGGGCCCGCTCAAAAGGGCCCCGAAAAATTTTTGGATTCTAGATGCTCTGTGGTGCGATCTGAGGCAATTTCTGACCACTTTAACCAATGTTTTTTTGAGGAAAAAATGGTGGTGTACTCATTGCCTGCCTTTATTGCGATGTCACATAAAAAAAAAATGGTTTCGTTTGGGGGAGGGGGGAATGCCCCCTTTGCCCCCCCCCCCGGATCCGCCCTTGGGTGTACGTGTACACACAGTACAAAAATGATATAGATAAAAGTTATAAATTTCAACTCACTATGCACACGCTGCCATTGGAGCACGTCTCAGTGTTTGCGCTGGAGCTGTCGAACGGATCCGCACAGTCGCTGTTTTCAGAGCCTACGCATGAATAACAATCTAGGCCGACACATGCACCTGTGAAAAAGAACCAATCGTGCAACTAATAATATGATCATTGCTATCCGGTTTTTTCGCGGTAACGAAATTGCTAATATTAACGTATAGGGTGCACAACTGTCCGGCTGAATTTTAACTTAGTCACGGCTGCTATACATATAGCGCCTTGAGAACCAATACTGGTGGATACGTGCGTGCACTTAATAAATACGCGTTGTGTGTTGTGTGTTGTTGGTTTGTTGGTAAATTTGTTGTTGTTGTGTATCTGCTGTATCAGCGTGCGCACCACATCGCTGGCCACAGCCTACCCGTACCCATACCCTGCTGGCTCCACACCCACACACGACGAAAACACCCACACACACACACACAAGTTTACGTTACATACCAAGTATGGACTTTCCATTGCTTTCGTGTAGTAAAGAAAAACCAGTGAAAAAAAATCATTTTTCTCAAACTGTGAAAACTCTTTCAACCCAATTGTTTTTTCTATGATTCCCTTTAGTGTTTCTCTTCATTCTGCTACCGATAAACCTAACCCAAAAATGCCTCTAAACCTGTTTTCCAGAAATTGGGAAACACTGTGTGGACTTGCCCAAGTCCGCACAGTGTCTCCTCTACCTGGTTTATGTGGACATCTTTTGTTCGGAAGTCCACACAGTGAATGTAATGCCTGTACACCCCCCCCCCCCCACACACACACGAAGCTCGCAGATACCGTACATAGGCCTACATCCGGTTCGTTAGTAAATACGTCATACTGACGCCCATTGGATGACTAAGTTGCGTTATAGTTTCCGGTTCCAATGTTCCAGTGCTGCTTAATGGACCGATCCAGTTAGCACCGCCCAATGGTGTTCAGACCAATCACAGCCGTGATTTATGTCCGACATGCGTGCACGCGCGTATGATGCGCGCGGCAGGAAAATGCAGTGTGGCATTGGATCATGGAGAGGAGCATGTGTTAATTTGCCCAGTGCGCATTGGGCGGGGCTTACTAGATCGGTCCATTACCATTGGGCGTGGTTTAAAATGAACTGACGTCACACTAACGAACCGGATACACTTTATTGTGCGCGCACATGCACTGCCCCTATGTGACAGTCCCAGCCCGTGTACAATTGGAATTGCGAGTTAGCCACGCCCCTTAAACAACCTTATGGAATTTGTGTACATGTACACCAATTTTTTATGTTTCAGATTTTGCGCGTTCCGCGTCCATTTGTATATCATGTAATTGGACAATTGTTCACAAGCTGCGTTGACGCGATTCTAACGCGATTCTAACGCGATTCTATATAGCGCGATAGGTCAATGATTGGGTGGACATCATATACACACGTGATGTCGGATGCAGGGGCTGTGCCTCTCCGCCGGCTCACACGGGGTTTGTTTATGGTGTAAATCGAGGACACACATGACGTGTGGAGCGTCATCGAGTAATCGCGGACAGTCGACAGGAGTCAAATCGAGGACGACCTCGATCAGAAAACGCGTACAAAATCAAATTCGAGTACAAACAATGGAATGAAGAAGAGAAACAGAAAGAAATCCACGATTCACACCATAAGCAAACGTGCTGGGGGAAGTGCGTGTACAAATTATGTACATTGCATATATAGTACTCTGAAAAAAATTCCATTGCAGCAGCCCTTTAAACAAGAAAAGGAAAAAACTATGGCGTTTCTTGAGTCATTTAATTCTTTTGATGGATCGTACGAATGCTGGAAGAAAAAAACAAGGGAAAGGAAGAAGAAAATAAAATTCGATACACTTACCGATGATGGTACAGGCAAACAGCAAACAAAAAAAGAAACCCTTCATTTTTTTTTACAAGGTTGTATGGTTGCATCTACAAGTTGAAAGAAGGAAACAGTTTTATTCGAACACAAACTAAAATGTGAGCCGGGTTTATACAAAACAACTCCAGCAATGAGATGCTCTTACAAGTTTGCCCCAGTTTATATAGACGCACACCCGGATGTATATTCCCGGGTGGTTATCACGATGGGTGTACGTGTGCTTCCGCCTTGTTCAATTTGATTGGCATTTTCATGAGCCTTCGTAATAGAGGTTATTATTATCTCCACTGTTGTGAGTCATAATGTACAAGGATTTTCCCGCACTCTTTTTCGAAGTTATTCGTTCTTTTGTTTGTCTTCTTGTGTTTGCCGCGGCTGTGACCTACACGTAGCCGTTTTTTAAGCTAAACAAGTATCGGAGTTACGGAAACGAATTTAGGACATGACCGAAAATATTTTTAGGCCCACTACTTCGCCCGGGTGGATTACTATTTCGCCCGGGCGGATTACTATTTCGCCCGGGCGGATTACTATTTCGCCCGGGCAGACTACTAATTCGCCAGGGCAGATTACTAATTCTCCCGGCCGGGCAGACTACTAATTCGCCCGGGCGAATTGGTAATCCGTCCGGGCGAAATAGTAATTTGCCTGGGTGAATTAGTAATCCGCCCGGGCGAAATAGTAAACCGCCCGGGCGACATAGTAATTCGCCCGGGCGAATTAGTAATCCGCATGGGCGAAATAATAATTCGCCCGGGCGAATTAGTAATCTGCACAGGCGAAATAGTAATCCGCCCGGGCGAAATAGAGGGCCGGATTTTTTTTTTGGTCATGTCCTAAATACACTTCCGTAGTACGGAGTTCAATCAAGGTCTAAAATTCCAGAATTCCTCCACGGACATCACGTAGCTTTCACTCCAATAGAACGTGCAGCAGTTACAAGTTTAGTAATAAGCAAGTCCTGTAATTCTATAGCTAGATATTTGTTGTGTGTGTGTGTGTGTGTGTGGGGGGGGGGGGGGGGGGGGGGGGGGGTGTCAGTGTAAAGAGTTTGGCCCTGTTGCCCCTGTAGACAGGTTGCTAACTACGGAGCTCTGGAAGTGCCATCCGACTTGTTCAGATACTGACTTATTTCATCTCGGGATGACGACAAAATGCAGGCAAGATGACGACATCCTGAGATAATTTGTTGGGGGATGACGACATCCTCAAAGTAGGATGACGACATATCGTCATAATTTAATATGGCATGACGACATCCTTAAAATTGGATGACGACATCTTAAGACAATCTCTTCTGGCGTGATCGATGACATACTGGGATAGTTTGTTAGGGGATGATGACATCCTGAAAATAGGATGACGACATCCCGAGATAATTTATGATGGGATGACGACATCCTGAAAATGGGATGACGACATCCTGAGATAATTTATTATGGGATGACGACATTCTAAAAAAGAATGACGACATCCCGGGATAATTTATTAGGATATGACGACATCGTGAAAGTAGGATGAGGACATCCTGAGATATTACGGGGTGCATTGAATCCATCTTGGAAACGCACAGACATCATGACCTCTCATCATCAAATGAATACCGTGTATATATAATACAGGGATAGAGTAAATTGTTTACAAGCCACACGTCCTGTGCGTTTTGAAGATGGCTTCAATGCACCCTGTGATAAATTGTCATGATGTCGTCACCCAGCTTCCAGGATGGCGTCATCCCATAACAAACTATCTGAGGATGTTGTCATCCTACTTTCAGAATGTCGTCATCCCATAATAAATTATATCAGGATGTCGTCATCCTATTTTCAGAATGTCGTCATGCCCTGATAAACTATCTCAGGATGTCGTCTTCCTCATTTTAGGATGTCGTCATCCCCTAATTATTTATCTCAGGATGTCGTTATCCTACTTTTAGGATGTCGTCATGCCATAATAGATTATATCAAGATATCGTAATGCTATTTCAGGATGTTGTCGTCCCATAATAAATTATCTCGAGATGTCGTCATCCTACTTTCAGGATGTCGCCATCCCCTAATAAATCATCTCAGGTACCGGATGGCGTCATCTTGTCTGTATTATGTTGTCATCCTGAGATAAAATAAGTCAGTATCTGAACAAGTCGGATGGCACTTTCAGAGCTCAGTAGCTAACGTATCAAAACATTAATGTGTCACTGTCCGTTGAGGATTTCTAGACATTTTGGGTTTCACAGCTAAGGCAATGCAGTGTTGAACAAAACAATTTACGCGACAACCTTTTACACATCATTATATCCGAGTTCTTTTCGCTAGATTGTTTTTTTTCCCCGATAATAATTATAAGTGATTTTAAAAGCCGCCCCAACAGCATGGCTTGAGTGTTTTGGACTGGGTATCTGTGGCACTAGACCACTACCAAAATGACTCCTTATTTCGAGAGCAGTTTTTTGACCAGAAAAAAATGGGGCAACAACTCATAGAGGGAGTTGATTTTGTGAACTCCTTTTTTTTTGGAAAATCGGAGATGAAACAATCTGACCTTTTGCGTCATTTTAAGTGTTTTATGAATGAAATCATTTGTTAGTTTATTAGGTCACCAATCTTTGCAAACTATTATTTTTTTAATATTTCAATAAACAAAACTTGTTGTGTATTGAATTTTGGTATGATCAGTTTACCCGCTTTAACACCCGTCTGTGATTTTTTTTTTTATGCAATTGTGACGCCTACAGGATAGACACAGTGGACCTTTACAAGTTTCATGACTGATGAAAGTATACTTTCTGTATTCTGCCACTGGCGAAAAGTGATGAAAGTATACTTTCTGTATTCTGCAACTGGCGAAAAGTGTCATGATTTCTGCTGGATTTGAGGATCCTGTATGTACTACCAAGGGCGGATCCAGAACACAATTTTTGGGGGGCCAAAAATGTTTTGGTCCCCCCAAAAAGTGGGTCCAAAAAAATTACGGCGTGGGGTTCGGGGCCCGCTTAAGGGCCCCGACTTTTTTTTGGATTCTAGATGCTCTGTGGTGCGATCTGAGGCAATTTCTGACCACTTTAACCAATGTTTTTTTGAGGAAAAGATGGTGGTGTACTCATTGCCTGCCTTTATTGCGATGTCACATAAAAAAAAAAATGGCCCCTTTTGCCCCCCCCCCCCCCGCTGGATCCGCCCTTGTGTACTACATGTACACGTACTGCACGCATCACCTTGAATTGGGCTATTACCCTACGTGTAAATAACCTCCGCGCGTGGCAGTTCGTACACACAAAAGAGACTTTATTGTTGACAAGCATTCGTCCATGAAAACAAGCCAACAGTATAGAAGCATTTGCTACCTGTTTTCGAGTAAATGGTCGTACATAGTACGACCCATTATCTCAACCGTTGTGAGTTAAATATTAGGGTTCTTTAGGCGAATGCGACAAGGCAAAGCGGAGGTGAAATTCCCCAGGTAGTTTCCCGCACTCTTCCCGAAGTCATTCTTTTGTTTGTCTTCTTTTGTTTGCCGCGGCTGTACCAACACGTAGTCGGTTTTTTTTTATAGCTAAACAACGTATGTTCAAGGACTAAAATTCCAGAATTCCTCCACGGACGTCACGTAGCTTTATCTCCAATAGAACGTGCAGAAGTAACAAGTTTACAGTAGGTGCGGCGGGAACATGACTGCTGCCTCGGAGATCATACGGAATCGGTCCTGGCAACCAGACACTTCACTTGGCATCAATTAAACTGCTTTTTTTTACAGGCGTAATTCACAGAAAAATACATTATCTCAACCGTTGTGAGTTAAATATTATAGTTCTTTCGGCGAATGCGACAAGGCAAAGCGGTGGTGAAATTCCCCGGGTTTTTTCCCGCACTCTTCCCGAAGTCATTCTTTTGTTTGTCTTCTTTTGTTTGCCGCGGCTGTACCAACACGTAGTCGGTTTTTTTTTTATAGCTAAACAACGTATGTTCAAGGACTAAAATTCCAGAATTCCTCCACGGACGTCACGTAGCTTTATCTCCAATAGAACGTGCAGAAGTAACAAGTTTACAGTAGGTGCGGCGGGAACATGACTGCTGCCTCGGAGATCATACGGAATCGGTCCTGGCAACCAGACACTTCACTTGGCATCAATTAAACTGCTTTTTTTACAGGCGTAATTCACAGAAAAATGCATTATCTCAACCGTTGTGAGTTAAATCATGGAGGAATAAGATATTATAGTTCTTTCGGCGAATGCGACAAGGCAAAGCGGTGGTGAAATTCCCCGGTATTTTCCCGCACTCTTCCCGAAGTCATTCTTTTGTTTGTCTTCTTTTGTTTGCCGCGGCTGTACCTACACGTAGTCGTTTTTAAAGCTTAACAACGTAGGTTCAAGGTCTAAAATTCCAGAATTCCTCCACGGACGTCACGTAGCTTTATCTCCAATAGAACGTGCAGAAGTAACAAGTTTACAGTAGGTGCGGCGGGAACATGACTGCTGCCTCGGAGATCATACGGAATCGGTCCTGGCAACCAGACACTTCACCTAAACAACGTATGTTCAAGGACTAAAATTCCAGAATTCCTCCACGGACGTCATCACGTAGCTTTCTGTCCAATAGAACGCGCAGAAGAAACAAGTTTACAGTAGGTGCGGCGGGAACATGACTGCTGCCTCGGAGATCATACGTACGGAATCGGTCCTGGCAACCAGGCACCTCACTTGGCATCAAGTGAAACTGTTTTTTTTTACAGGCGTAATTTAAAGAAAAATGCACTGAAACTTATATTCTCTAATACACTAAATCCCGAAATGCTCCATCCAAAAATTCGTTTCTGGGAAAAAAATCATGTATTTATTCCCGCCTGTAAGCAGGTTGCTAACGTATCAAAAACAAAAAGTTTCTATCGTTCATGTGTCACTTTTTAGTAGACGGTTTCTAGACAATCGAGGTTTTCACAGGGCAATGCAATACTGAACATAAAAATTCACGCGACAATCGGTTACACATACAGGGGTGCGTCAAAAAAAGCGGAACCCAAACCCCAATGAATAAGCTATAATCACCTATTAAAAAAAATATATGTAGCACCAAAATAGTTATGACTTATGGTCTTATTTTATTCATGTGTTCTCCCGGCCAATTTCCTAAAATGTTCATTCACTTCTGAAAATCGGTCATTCGTTTTTGTCTTAATTTGAATGCAAGTCTTTAATCCCGTTTCAATTCAACGAATGTTCAATCGCTTTTATTGCCCGTGCATTCGGTTTTGAGAAACAGACGGTCAATTACGTTACCTGTGCATTTATTTACGCATGCACACCTTTTCGCGCCGAGTTCTGGCCTACAATTTTGTGAATGTGCAATAAAAAGTACGTTTTTCTCATTCAAAATAGCAGATTGCATCACATGACATTGAACTAAAATTGAAATAGAATGACCAATGTTTGAAATCGCCCTCTAAAAGGGAAAAGGAAGTCTTGTAAACGAATCTGAATGAGCATAAACGAAATGTGCTGCTCAGTCACTTTAATTGATTGAACTGAAATGGAATCGAATGCTGGTAGCGAAAATGAATGACCGATTTTCCGAAATGATTGAACATTTTAGGAAATTGGCCGGGAAAACCTATACATACTGGTATTTTGAAAAATTATATAAATTCAATGGCACTTTTGTTTTGGTTATATTTTTTAATTCATAAAGTTTTTTTTTTTAAAGTAAATTAGCTGTGGTTGCCTGTTTATTTTAATTTAATGTGACGCATACCTGACCTATGACCTATTCAGAGACGTCAGGGAGTTGGTCATCAGGTCTTGGAACCTGACTAATTTAAATCATGCTGACTGACAAAGAGTTACCTTTTAATGCCATGATTGACTTTATTTGTGACATTCACAAGAAAACTCATTACGTCTTGATCAGCATACGTGAGAATGATGTCGGAAACACACGTTCAATGCAACAGTTGTACGAGTCACAATGCATTCATGTTGTTAGCATATGCAGTGTTATGCACATTAAAAGTTTTTATCGGCAATATACATGCAAAAAAGTTCAAAAATATAGGTTTTCCCTGCCAATTTCCTAAAATGTTCATTCACTTCTGAAAAAAAGTCGGTCATTCATTTTCGTCTGAATCTGAATTTGAGAATTCGTTTTCAGAGGGCGATTTCAAACATTCACCGTTCTGTTTCACTTTTAGTTTAATGCCATCGGCAACAGATAAAATTAGGGGTTTCTTTTTCATTAACCGTCAATCAAATTAGCTGTACCTGAAATCAATTTAGAAAAGAAACGTTTGCGTAAATGAATGCACAGGTAATTACGTAAGTGGCCGGTCTGTTTCTCAAACCTGAATGCAAGGACAATGAAACGATTGAACTTTCGTCGAATTGAAGTGGCATTGAAGACGTGCATTCAAATTCAGTCGAAAATGAATGACCGATTTTCAGAAGTGAATGAACATTTCAAAAAATTGGCTGGGAAAACCTATTTCCTGTGTAATAAATTATTAAGTTCTCCCTGAAACCAAGCTTGATTATAATATAGTACCCTGTTATACCTTCTTTACTAGGTTATATGACTGCATATAAAAAATACAAATTGAAACCCTTACGTACACCTGATTATAATGAATTCACGTAACACAGCAACACTTGAAATAACGTATGAAAATAAACCTTCAAAACCAATATTGGATAAGTACATAAAAAGTATTTAAAACAAAAAAAATCTCGCTATCACCGTATTACACTGCTATACATGTACAAATACCTCCTTCATTCAAATTCAAACTCAAGTTTAGTATCCACGCAAAAAAGCATAGAAATTCAGCTTCCACTGGCATTTAAAAAACATTACATAAAACCACTAAACCAATGTAAATATACACTACATCACTAAAAATTCTGAACATAATTAAAGAAGGTTTTTTTAACGTAGTTTACATTTTATAACGCAACCATGCTCCAAGTGTCTACTTCAACCTCAATCTCAGCAGTGGACCCCGATTCATGTAACAAAACAACACTTGAAATTACGTATGACAATAAACCTACAAAACCGATATTAGATAAGTACATAAAAAGTTAAAAAAAAAATAAATAAAATTCTCGCCATCACCGTATTACACTGCTATACAAAATATCTCCTTCATTCAAATTCAAACTCAAGTTTAGTATCCACGCTAAAAAGCATAGAAATTCAGCTTCCACTGGCATTTAAAAAAACATTACATAAAACCACTAAACCAATGTAAATATACACTACATCACTAAAAATTCTGAACATAATTAAAGAAGGTTTTTTTAACGTAGTTTACATTTTATAACGCAACCATGCTCCAAGTGTCTACTTCAACCTCAATCTCAGCAGTGGACCCCGATTCATGTAACAAAACAACACTTGAAATTACGTATGACAATAAACCTACAAAACCGATATTAGATAAGTACATAAAAAGTTTTTAAAACAAAAAAAACTCACTATCACCGTATTACACTGCTATACAAAATATCTCCTTCATTCAAATTCAAACTCAAGTTTAGTATCCACGCTAAAAAGCATAGAAATTCAGCTTCCACAGGCATTTAAAAAACATTACATAAAACCACTTAACCAATGTAAATATACACTACATCACTAAAAATTCTGAACATAATTAAAGAAGGTTTTTAACCTAATTTACATTTTATATAGTCTGGTTCCCCGACCTGACAATTTCCCCCGACGTCTACACGTCTAAATTGTAGGTCAGGCAGCCTCCGTGGCTAAAAATAAACATGACGACATTGACGGCCCTTTTTCAAAGCTCGGCTTCGTTTCCGAATTCGCTTTATCACATAAAGCTTTTAATGTTCCGATCATTTTTTTTAAAAAATAAATCACTTGCTTCATATATCATACAGTTATGATATACAGTTTAATACTTCTGTAAGAAAACATTGACTAATTTTGACCTGGAATCTTCAAAGTTAAACACCCAAACAGCACTGTAAGAAGGCGGAGCCGAATTGAGACCACGCCGAGTTTTGGAAAATGCCGGTAACGGTCGTCAAATTCAAACTAGTGCATGACGCAGCAAAAAGTTCGCCCCTCTTATACGATCCGAGTGCAAAATCGTTGTTGAATTTCAAGTTTTCTAAATAAAAGCAATGGATATTAATTATCAACTAGTTTTTTTAAGTTTTTAATAAGCAATTAGCAGTTAATAAAACCATGGAGTTCTTATTCCTCCATGATAAAACCTATATTATACTCGGAAATACTCGGACACTATCCGATAGTCGACGAAATGAATTCGGCAAACTTCGGACATTTTCGGAAAAAGGAGGAATTCCTCCCGTTTTAGTCACGTGATGTAAATTGTAATACATTACCGGAGGCTACCTGACCTAAGATTCATCAGGAATAGTCGGAATCTTTTGGTCTGGGAACCAGACTACATTTTATAACGCAACCACGCTCCAAGTGTCTACTTCAACCTCAATCTCAGCAGTGGACCCCGATTCATGTAACAACACAACACTTGAAATTACGTATGAAAATAAACCTTCAAAACCGATATTAGATAAGTACATAAACAGTAATTAAAACCAAACAATCTCGCTATCACCGTATTACACTGCTATACATAGTATTTACATCATTCAAATTCAAACTCAAGTTTATTATCCACGCTAAAAGAGCATAAAAATTCAGCTTCCACTGGCATTTCTAAACAATAACATTACATAACACCACTTAACCAATGTGTAATACATACACTAAATTACTATAAATCAAGAAGTCGTTTAGCCTAAATTACATTTTATAATGCAATCATGCTCCAATTAAGTGTCTGCTTCAACCTCAATCTCAGCAGTACACCCCAAGGAACCTTAATATTCCATTTTCAGCTTAGTACATTCAGTCCCTTACACCTGTTACAATACTAGACAATTCTAAAGAATAATTACTTCTCAATGTTCAAAGGAAATACGTGACCACTCTAAAAGAGGGAGCAGGACATTTGGGTCTTCAATTTTTGTCAAAGCCGAAACATTGGACAAGGGACACCTGCAAGCATAATATGTCGAGTCTCGTTATAACAAACTCGTTCGGACCTAGCCAAATTGTTTGTTATATCAGAACTTTGTATTAAGAGGAACATCAGTCCCATTCATTGTGCACATAAATGCACAGTTGGGACCAAGGCTTTATGTTTGTTATAACCAGAATTTTGTATTAACAGAGTTTGTACTAACGAGACTCGACTGTACTACTATTTATTTATGTTAATACGCACTTTTTTTTTCCAAAGGGTCGCTAATTGAGAAAATAATTTTGTAATATTAGATGGCTTTGAGGGGGATACAAGAATATATTGCACGAACTATAACAATATTACACGAGTTGAATAGCGAGCGCAATATATTCTTGTATTCCCCGAAAAAAGCCAATCCAACATTATTATTATATATATTAGGCTGACTAGCTTGATCCGCAAGAAATAAATTTCAGGACACTGCCTTTATTTCTCAAACTTCCTCAAAATATTTTCTTCGCTTACTGAAGCAAATTTCGCGCCGCTCGAAGCTGCCATTGTGGCTGTTGACAACAGTGTGCACTTACCCTGCTAGTGCTGCGCGCTGCGTCCACGTGCCGCGCGCTTTGTTGACTGTGACTTTCTATACGCTCTAGCTTGTGCGGGAACTAGCAAAAACGCCTGGATGACTGCAATATCAAAAATAATATTGCAGTCATCTGGGTACTTTTTACGGAAGCATACAATACGCTGATGTATTTTTACGACTGGAAGCCTGATAGTATAGGTTTTCCCGGCCAATTTCCTAAAATGTTCATTAACTTCTGAAAATCGGTCATTCTTTTTCGTCTGAATTTTAGACTCCCTCTGATCACGCATTTCATTTTCGCTACCAGAGCATTCAATTCCATTTCAGTTCAATCAATTAAGTGGTTGAGCAGCACCTTTCGGTTACGTCCATTCAGATTCGTTTACAAGATTTTTTTTTCACTTTTAGAGGGCGATTTCAAATATTCACCATTCTATTTCAATTACAATTAGGGGTTTCTTTTTCATTGACCATCAATCAAATTAGCTGTACCTGAAATCAATTTAGAAAAGGTATGCTTGCGTAAATGAATGCACAGGTAACGTAATCGGCCATCTGTTTCTCAAAACCGAATGCGCGGACAATGGAAACAATTGGATTTTCGTTGAATTGAAATGGGATTAAAGATGTGCATTCAAATTCAGACGAAAAAGAATGACCGATTTTCAGAAGTGAATGAACATTTCAGGAAATTGGCCGGAAAAAACCATATAAACCAGAATAAACTGGTTCGTCTCCTCCTGCACATTTTGCAAATATGCAATCGCAGTATTTAAGGCAGAATAGGAGACTTTTGAGACGCTTGGTGGCAGCAAACACACCGGTCAGCTTCAATGGTTTGTGCGCATGCTCAAAATGACGTCAACAATAGAAAAGGGCCTTTGTGCTTGCTGCCATCGCGCCTCTCAAACGTCTCCTATTCAGACGTTACTGTTGGATGACGTCATCTCAAGACCAAGATATGCATTTCATTCAAGCTGCCAAGATGACGTCATCCCAAAATATTCTTTCCTTTCAAGCTGTCCCGATGAAGTCATCTAAAGATAATCTTCCTTTCAAGCTGTCATGATGACGTCATCTCAAGATGGTCTTTCCTTCTCAAGCTGTCCTGATCCTAATAATAAAAAGCGTCGTCATATCGTTCCTCGTTCATTCTGCGCATCTATTTTATGATCGTGCAAGAAAAAAAAAACACGGATGAAAAAGTGATTCACTAGTATCTGCTAAAAGATCATCAATTGATGCAAGTTTTAAATGCAGATTGTGTTTATGCTTACCAGGGCAGGTCCTGGTACGATGTAGGGAGTGGAAAAGTTGTCAATACGGCGGTCCAGATCCCGAAGACCGTCGTCCAGATAGGAGTCACTCTCCAGCGAGTCCTGGTTCATTCTTCGCATCTGCAATTTCGTTGATATTTTTAAAAAAGTGCACGATGTTATTTATGATATCGACACTAGATCCGCGGAAGAAAACAGGAATACGCAAGTCATTGGATTGAAAATCACTCTTTTCCCTTGCGAGATTAAAACAATGCAGCATTGGCTTTGTGATAATTAAAAAATGATTTGACCTCGGAGGTTTACAATGGATTTCAAGAATTCATCTCAATCCCTTAATAAGTTGTTAAAATCTTCAGTAACAGTTCATGCCACGACCGTTGGTATCATTAATACGAAACAACTATTACAATGTATAGTAAATGTAAATATGCATCAGTTAACCCCAACGAGATAAAAGTATTGCATGTACAGGGAGGTGCAAAAAGAAGGAAACCCACTTTTGACAGCAATTTTCACCTACTCGTCGAGCATATTTCAAAAATTCAATTTAATGGTATTGATTACTGATTTGTAAACATAAGTGACCTAAAAATGATTGCAAGTGCATATTTTTGGTCGCTGAGATATGGTAGTTTAAAAACGTCATGTGCCAAACCTGTTTGTCCATGGACGGCTTTATTCCATCCGCTTGACTGAGCTCCCGAGCTTGATTTGAAGACAAGAAACACTACATCCGATTTACATAGACTACGCGTGGACAACTGTGATTTTGGTGACTTGTATTCAAATTAGTATAATAACACTATTCTTGCGATTTTGTTCAAGATTGTTTTCACCTAGCCCCGTAAATGTGGCCAATTTACTGGACTACCTCCGTAAATAAAGGCCACACTTCCACCATGTACAAAAACATGACGAACTTTGTCAAATTTTGATTTTCACATTTAGGCTTAGTTTGTAGTTTATTTTGGCTTTAGAAGCATACTCACCCTCTTTATAGGCTAATCAGAAAGTGCTGCCTTTTTCAGATGTCTAATTTTTGTGAAATTTCATGCTGAAATTTTGATACGCAAACGTGTGCCAACGAATCTGGAAATTTCACAAAAAATAGACATCTGAAATAGGCAGCACTTTCTGATTAGCCTATAAAGAGGGCGAGTATGCTTCTAAAGTCTAAATGTGAAAATCAAAATTTGACAAAATTCGACATGTTTTTGTACATGGTGGAAGTGTGGCCTTTATTTACGGAGGTAGTCCAGTAAATTGGCCACATTTATGGGGCTAGTTTTCACCACGTATGGTTGTAGAGCTACACTTTACTAAACTATAAAAAAACAAGTCAGGTGTGTTTACAAACACAAATGCCCCGCAACCGTGACTGTTTCCATGACATAACACCACTCTAACATCAACTTACATGTACCTTGGTCAAATGGAACGTTCATTGACAGCATTAGTGTCTTCTGTAGGTTTTATATGAATTAATCCCTAATCCCTATGATCTCAGAATAAATACAAGATTTCTATTGTTTTAGCCACTGTGACCTTGACCCTTGACCTTTCGACCCCCAATGCAAAATGCTTCTTAGGACAAGGCGGAAACAGTATGCCCCTTCGGCTTCGCCGCGGGGCATAAAAAAAACAGCTCAAACAGTTAAGTAATTATAGGTAAAAATTCCTGTCAAATATGGGTTTCCTTCTTTTTAGCACCACTTATGTAGGTCTCGTGCAAGATATCATGTGCTTACCAAGGCTGGGCCGGGGATGAAGTAGGGCGAGAATCTACCATCATAGCCTGGTCTATTAAACTGAAACGGAGACACAAAATAAAAACCAATTTGCCTTACTCTTGAGCAAATGGCGAGTCAAGAAGGTTATAGACGTATATTTACTCATTCCTATACAGCATTTTCTACGATCTGTAATTCGTCGTTTCAATAAAAGTGACCAAGTTGGTTCAATAGACGGTTTGGGTAAAGACAGAAATGTAATCTTTTCCCCCAAAAAACCTAGTAAAAGACACCAAAATCACTGTCCTAACTGCTCTTTAAGCTTAGATATGGCCACTTATATGTGGTAAGGAACCGTGACCATTCAGCCCTGGTATGAAAAGGGCCCCCCGGTACCTCGTCCGGTCCAGAGCCAGTCCGGTCTTCAGCCCAGTCTCGTCCGGTACATGGTCCTGTCTGACCAGAAGTTTTGAAGTCAGTCAGGCGCATCAATTTATTGCCCTTCAGAGAACGTCCAGAGCAGAACAATAGCAGCTTAAAACGCCGTTTTAATTTACGGTCCCATTGTGCGCGAAACCGCAAGGCAGGGGTTTTGATCTGTGCCGACGAAAGTGTTCTATTGTTTCGCGCTGAGAGATGAAAACCACAAGCAGGTTTCTTCTGGGATTTATTACATGTGTCAATACTTGCAAACAATAGACCCCAGGATAGAGGAGTTCCTGATTAGCAACCAGACCAGCTCCTAGGCCGGTAGCTGGGACGGTACGAAAGGACTTCTTGGGAGGGGACGAGCTTACCGGGGGGCCCTTTTCATACCGGGGCGGAATGGTCACGGTCCCTAACAAGCATGTTGGTGGCCATTTTGAAAAAAAGAAGTGATAACACCCAAAAGGCTGCCACCGCTGCAATGCTATCACATATCTCCCGACTCTAGGGGTGCATACCTTGCCAAAAATTGCTATGAGCATTACTCACCCTCACTTGATACCGACCAAAGCCCCAGGCTGATGGCCTATTAATATTTTTTTTTTATTTCGCACTTGCAAATGGTGTCGTTTCAGCTCGATCCACCCCATTTGCTCTAAAGTATTATTGGTTATTATTATTAAACACTTAATGGTCGAGATCTTTTGGTTGGATCAGTGACCACACAGTGGATCGTGACTAAAATCAATTCCACGAACAGTAATGTCTTGAGCATCATTCACGCCAATAACAACCAAAAACTACCCAACATTTAGAATATTTTTTAAGGCGTTAATAAACAGCAAGTGCTATAGAACACACCTGCGGTCGTCGGTACCCGGTTGGCATCAGATCCACTGGCACTCTCTCCCGCCGATCACCAGCATGTCGCTTGGCAGTTCCCATCATAACCATGGCGCATGCGCATATAAGGGCGAAAATCACTGCGACCGCCAACACACCAGCAACAACCGCCAAGGTGATGACCCCGCCATTTGCGGGTTGGTCTGGATAGGTGCGAGTCAAAACGTTACAAGTTTGTATCTGCTCAATCAATCGATCACAACCTTAAATTTCGGACCTTGAAATCCTCATACATAAAAAGGACCAAAACCAACCAACCAACCAAACAAAGAAAAATAAACAATAAACTGAGCCAATCCCCATCCCAAAAAGGGAAAATCCAAGACAAAACCAAAGAACAGAAGAGGTGCAAATCGAATATTATGATTTTAACTGAGCAAAACTTTCCCGTAGAAACTGGTAGCTAAAAAGAGGCTTTTGTTACGAAGAGCGCTCTTTGGTGTCAGATGAGGTCCAGCTGGTCCTGCCTCCACCCCGCTTTTTGAATTTGCCACAGCGGACAATGAACCCTACCCAAGTCAACAGACACATATGGGATGCGCAACTAAAAAAAAAGAAGAGCTTTCAAAATAAAGCTGTAAACAGAATGACCAGTACATACCTTCCCCTTCACACTTACTACCGGTGAATCCTTCCGCGCACCTGTTGCAATTGAAAGAAAACAAAATGCTTGTCAATTGGAATTGATGCAATGGTGAGTTTGTTTCTGCATTCAATAGGAGACGTTGAACAATAGAGGACCATAGGGTCCCCAGTCTCCGAGAGGTCCCCTTATTGGATTCGTGTACAAAACATGTGGGAGGTCTTCCTAAAAAGTTAGAGTACAAACAACAGAGGGACAATAGGGGTCCCTGATTGCAGGCAAATACAGACTTGTCTGCTTTGATCTGAGGTAATGACACGTTTTGTACACCATGTTAATTTGAGCGCGTCAAAATAACAGAATTATACATAAATAGTAGTACACTACGAGGGAATGGAAGATTTCATACACTTACTCGCACGAAAACTGGAGGTCAGGGAAACTCCCTACTGGAACGCAGGTGCCGGCGTTTTGGCAGTAGTTTGCCGGGCAGCTTTCAGTCTCAGCTGAATCAAAGGAAACAAATCCCAAAACTTAATACATTGTATCAAATCATGGATTATCGTTGTAACAAATCCATAAGCCGTATAACTGTATGACCTTGCGGACCGTCCCTTTAGACTGTGAACCCAGATCGTTCCCAGGGTCTACGTTTAACCTTGAGACATTAGTACCGCAAAACAGCTAGTGGGAACGTATCGCTAGAAACCTTTGGGACGAGGTTTACAATGAAGAACCTTTCGTGAACTTTTGATGTCTGTGCGGCTCCGGAAATGAGCCCCTCATGGTCCTTCGTCGGACTATTTTTTTTTTTTTTTAGAAAGGACTGTTTACAAGGTTGGGGAGTTTGGCGGTTTGCCATGAATTCTAGAAATCTGGTTTGAGACAACCAGACATCTGTACCTGTAACCACTGAAACCGACTGATCAATAAGGAGCGAGTTGTCGATCTGTGCGTCGACATGAAGCACGTCTAGAACGGTGTTACTGTCCACCACTGCTGTCATTGGGTATCTGGCTACGCCGTTTACCAACAAGCTGCCATTGCGAATCGCAACCACCTCAAACTTGCAAATCGTTGATGTCCTCTGCCCTCGTCGCAGAGCTCTAGACACCTGTCGGAAATAAAGGTAAAGTTTCTGTCATTACTTCATATGAAACAATATCATCGTGTAGTTGATATACTTGCAATTATTATCCCTGTGTACTAGTATTGGAAGAGATCTTACAAAACATTTAGTGTATCACTGCTTCTATACTAAATTCTCATTAAAAATGTAAAGTTTTAATTTCCCCGGATATTGCATCTGAGCCATAATTCATTGTTATGGCTCAAAAAATGACTTAAATTGTAACACTTTTAGAAAACATCGCCAAGTGATTTTTCCTCAGGTTTTCAAGACAAACTTATGAAAAACCTTCACATAAGCTAAACTATATGGATTGGAAAGGCTGTTGACATTGTGTATGAGCACTGCAGATGACAGGAGACCTTTAAGAGCAGCACGTTGTTTAACGTACCGTGATGGTATCAAGCTATAGTGATCGTGTCCTTGGGCGAGGTGCTTTACCACAATTGATAAATGGTTAAAGCTTAACCCTAAAAGGGCCAGGTTATTTTGACCATCTCTCAGCCGGAGAAGGGGGGGGGGGGATTCCACCCCCGGCCCTTTTAGGCTTAATGCATGTAGTTACGTGACCAATACATTCCTCAGATCACTCGCTCACAAATAGTTTTCAATTTCACTGCAGCATCTTGATAGGCCCTGCCTTGATCATAGTTTAAATCAAGACAATGTCTCGAAATGACAATGGTTTACTTTGTCAATCTTCGAGTGGAACTTCCTTTGTTATCAGCGGTTAAATACTGACAAAGCTACAACTTACTGGTTGGCCAATTCTCCGAGCGATATCTTGAAACTCCTGTGAGTCCTTGTTGGCAAGCTGATTGGTATACACCACCGGTGCCCCGTCTATCCCAAGGATCCGGAGCTGGACCAGGAACGCTGCATTTCATGCAAACGAAAGACATGAAATTATTTGTATTGAGACGCAAGCATGTCGATAATTCAGTAAAAAAAAGTTTTTTGAAGAGGTGGTCGACACAGCAGGATATAAACATAATAATGTTTGTCAACATTGTGTTTGCAACAAGATGACTTGAGCCGTTTACCTTGAGTCGTAATGCAATCTTCAATTGATACAGTTGTTGCTGGAACGCCATTTGTAGCTGATCCACTAGTCAAAGTATCGCCGACTGTCGTCGGTCTAGCCACTGGTTGTCCACCTGTTGTTCCTGGTCCTTCCGTCAAAGTATCACGGCTTGTCGTTGGTCTTGTTGATGATTGCCCGCCATTGGTAGCTGATCCACCAGTAGAAGTATCACTAATCCTCGTTGCTCCAGTATTTGATAAATCAGCCGATGTTGCTGATGATCCACCCATTGGAGTATCGCTAATCGTTGTTGCTCCGGTTGCTGATTGATCCGCTGTTGTTGCTGATCCACTCATGGGAGTGCCTTGGATAGTTGAGCCGGTTGCTGATAAATCAGCCGACGTTGCTGATGATCCAAGGCCACCCGTTGGAGTATCGCTGATACTTGTTACTCCTGTTGTTGATGGGCTAACTGTTACTGTTGAAGCTGGGAACATAAAATTTGGCACCCAGCGTCAAGATACATTTTTTAAAATGATTTTAATGCATTTAAAATTTCATTAACCTAGTACAAAGAAACATTTACAATGCGGCGTCTTAGTTCAACTCTCAAAGTACTAGCCGCATAGACTGAAGTTCCTTGTCGGGTTTTTAATTTTTTTTTCCAAAATATCCTTACCACTGGAGAAGTAAAACCAAAGCTCATATATGGTCTTCCTGTTCATTTAATTAGGTTGACATAGGGGGAGTTTGTGGCCTAGTGGTTAGGGTTCGTGACTCATGATCAGAGGGTCCAGGGTTCGAAGCCAGCCGCTGGTCATATATTGTGTCCTTGGGCAAGCCACTTCATCCCCACTTACCCCTCTCCACCCAGGAGTATAAATGGGTATCAGCATTAGCTTGGGAGTAACCTGCGATGGACTAGCATCCCATCCAGGGGGAGTAGAAATATTCTGTCGTTTCATGCTACTGAAACCGGAGATAAACGCCAGCCTGATGAGCCACATTGGCTCGAGACAGACTTTACTTTTTTACAACGGGGTGGACAAAAAAACTGCCCAAGGTCTTACCAGAATTTGGCGTCAAAACATGAAATCAGAAATATCGAAGAACGGGAAGTTGAGGGGTGGGGTGGGTTACACCAACTAACATTAGGTTGCATTGTTCATAACAGAATCTTGCAGACATACACAATTTGGATTGAAGAGGATGTTTTCACACCTGCAACGATTTTTGGACTTTGCGACATTACCCACCATACTTGAGTTACTTTTGGCTATGTAAACATATACTCCTCTATGTTGTCAAAACAACTTTGATGTGGTCTAGTTTTAGTTTTAAGTGTTATTCCTTTTTTCTTTTCATTTGTATTGTTGAGATTTGAGGCCACACTTATACTGCTTTAACATGTTATGATCTAAAATAAACGATACAGCAATTCTATCGGTAAAATACACAAACCTACCGACGACGGTGATATTAAACTGACACTTTCCGATGTTGAGGGCGGAGTCGGTCGCGTTGCATGTCACTGTCGTTGTGCCTACTCCGTACGAGCTGCTTGACATCACGACATTGCCTCCATCGTCGAAGCAAGTGATGCTGTTCGAATCAAGGACATCAATGTTGTCGGTGGCAGATGGCATTGGTGTCCAAGGTACGACGGCAAACTCCACCCCAGGGTTCGTAGAGACAGAGGGGACATCATCGGGACAAGTGACACGAGGAGATTCTGCGCATTGCGAAACAAATCCATGCATATTCATAAGATAGAACTTTTGTTTTATAAGATGGAATTTTTGCGTCGGGGTGATGTAAATCAAATTAGATTATTTGCCCTTCACCGACGTATAAACACTGTATACTCAGTGTGTTACCTCCCGAGTGAAAGTTTCGAACCAGCCAACCGATCCCGTTAGCTCGGTGGTCGAGTGGTAAGACATCTGCACTAGAAAGCAGGAGGTCGTGGGTTCGAGTCCCACCCGAGTGATTTTTTCCCAACTTTCACTCTGGAGGTAACACACTGAGTATACAGTGTTTATACGTCGGTGAAGGGCAAAACCTAATTTGAAATCCATGCATAGAAAATCCAGGTTATGTGGCATATTCTACATCTATGAACACATAGCCATACATTTTGTTTTAGTAAACTTACTGGTATGCAACTGTTAATGATATCTCGGACAATTTACCACCATCTGGAGGAGAATTTTATTTAAATATTCCTGGGCGATGTAGCCTTTAGTCTAGCTTACGTAAACACAGGCCTTGTGAACATGGAATTTGCAAACATGATCCCAGTCCAATTTTGGCTTGAGCGTTTTGTTGTGATGGAACTGCCTAATTAATTGCCTCGTATTTATGTCTGCTTGTGATCTTGTAATGTTCTATCTGGGCTACATATGCATTTGTTTAAAACCCTATGATGCAATCTAGGGGACGAGAGGGCAACAAACCTGTGTCAGGAACAACCCGAATGTCGTCGACAGCGATGTCCGACTTATCAGATACACCTGGCACTCCCTCTAATGCTATGTTGAATGGTGCGGTCACATTTCTGATGGTTATTACTGCTTGAAGCCAGGTTGTATCGTTAGTTTGTTCCCCGAGCAGCTGGAAAATACGCGTGTCGGCTGTGACACCGCGTCCCTCTGGTACTTGATGCACATTTAAAGCACCTGTGACAATTAAAGGAAGAACAAGAATGCTTGTGATAATTAATGACCTGTCACAGTAGAATCGCATTAGAAACGCGTCAACGCAGCTGGCGAAATATTGTCCAATTACTTGATATACAAATGGACGCGGAACGCGCAACATCTGAGACAAACAAACCTAAGCGTATACAAAGGTTGTCTAAGGGGCGTGGCTAACTCGCAAACGGCGATAGGCCAATTAGCATTACAACAAGTAAATTGCCATCCTCCATACAAACGACCAGCGCTGAAATACGGTACTGCATGCTGATTGGCTAATCGTCATTTGTTTACTGTATAGGTCACCGCGTGATCGCTAAATGATTATTCATTACTTCCCAAACCACTGCGCGCTGTAATCAGCTGTATGTAAATGAAGTGATCATATCATAGCTCAATAAAGTTTGTCACCTAGCCTGTGCGTACTTATTGTAATGGTTTTTGAACAATTACATCAGGTCCCCTAGGATTCGCCCAATCAAGTAAGAAATAAAACACCTTGTATCGTAACCAATACATCTTGTTCAGTTAGGGTCGATGACTTGAATTTTACACTCGTGCATATATCAATTCTTCTGAACTGTAAGAAAGCTATCAGACATTCCTCTTTGGTTTCAATAATTTGTAAAAGATGCGCTTTTTAAAACCATTTAATGGTCTCCGTCAACTGAGAGCGCTCAAATTAGGTTTTTGCCCTTCACCGACGTATAAACACTGTATACTCAGTGTATTATCTCCCGAGTGAAAGTTGGAAAAAATCACTCGGGTGGGACTCAAACCCACGACCTCCTGCTTTCTAGTGCAGATGTCTTTCGACCACCGAGCTAACGGGATCGATTGGCCGGTTCGAATCTGATGTACCATAGCAGCGGGTACCGCATTAACTATTCATAAGGTTTTTACCCTTCACCGACGTACACAAAACAAAAATAGATCTCGTTCTATAAATCGTACTAAGAACCAAAAATAAATCTCAGTGTAACCAAATTACCGATTCCACGGCCATACATGTTGTACCACAAACTCATGATCCAGTTAAATCCTGAGGGCACCGACACCTGAGGACTGAGAATGATGGCCGTTGCATTGGGCAAGGCAAATCTGCCTTCAAATAACAAATAGGTTCCGTTGAGTGCTGAAAAGAAGAAAAAAAATCCTTTTATCAAAACAGCCTTCCTTCAAGACGCAAACAGGGCAGGGCAAATTAAGTTCCTTCTTTTGAAAGGTAATGAATTCTACAAATGATTGGGGAGGATAACAAGTACCAAGTGGTACAATTAACCCACGGTGGCCGGGCAACGTATGAAGACGGCTTTAATACCACACTGTGAGTGCACCCGAATGGGGCGTGATCTAATATGCAAAAATATGCAAATTATAGACACATGCGCATCAGTGTTTTCAAAACCGGTCTTCGAATGCAAAGCTGCAATGCTCGAGATGCATGAATACCATATATGCCCGAGTAAACCGTCCACCAACCCACCCACCCACCGACCCACGCATACAAATGTGTATTTGCCTGCAATCGGGGACCCCCTGTTGTCCCTCTTTTGTTTGTACCAACTTTTTAGGAAGACCTCCCATGTTTTGTACACGATTCTAAATTGGGGGCCTTCGGGAATTGGGACCCTATTGTCCTTTATTGTTCAACGTCCCCTACTGAATGCAGAAACAAACTCACCAACCCACCCACCAACCTAAGCAGCTCAAGCCCACGGCGTGTTTCACACCGCCGTGGGGAAAAAAGCTCGTACTACGTACACTAAGGTGCAATATGAGTAAAGCTTATGCCCCTTTGAGCTTCTTGGGTTTGTTTATACCAATTAAACACGATGCGGTTTTCGAACTAACCTCTCCAAACATGCTCAATTTCTCAGGCATTCTGACATTCTGGCATTAACATCAAAGAAATTCTGCATGTACTGCCTTGTGGTCTCCACTAAATAACGCTCCTATCAATGCCGTTTTGGTATAAATGCTGTTTAAAGAACGATTCCCCAAAACGACAGAAGTGCCATTTGCTCGAAAAATCATTTAGGTGCATGTTTTTGGCCTTTAAAAGCAACTATAGGTTTCTGCTGCAGTAGACCCAAGACGTCATGACATCTGGCTTTGTTTCAATATTAAATACCTTCTTCTGAGAGCTTATAGTTGTCTCCCCACCTGTCAACCACAAGACAGCTCACATATTATTAGCAAAGCACGACGTCTTAATGACGCAGGGTTATTGCATCATGGACGAAATTCGATTTTATTATTAAGTATACGTACTGCCTATAGTCTGATCGAATTCGGGACCAGTGCCTTCTGTGACAGTATCTCCACGTTCCCGATACCAGTTGAAGTCACCATCTGTAGGATGATTCCACCCACAAAGACCTTCCTCGAAGTCGCAATCGAAAGCTGGATCTGGATCTGGACATGAAGGGGAAGAGTGGGTAAAAATTGCACACTCTGGCCGATATCAACCCCATTAATTGTTAAACGGACTCGATGTTACGTGTCAAGATGTATAACAGTCATTGCTGTATTGTGCAACAGTGTAAAATGTAAGGGCAACTAAAAAAAAATCCATCAGCGAACCGTTTTACATGTGGGGCAAAATGGAAACCCAATATGGGGTAAAACGGACCCTTTTATAGGATATCAGTTGATCCTCTACACAAGGATAAACGACTTCCCCAAATACACATGGCTCAACTTTGTTTTCATTTTTTTTTTCAAAACAGTGACCGATAGGAGCCCATCACCATATGTTTTCAGAATCGGAACCCGTCAAGTTTGAGTTCGCTTCTATGAAAATAGGTAAAGAGAGAAGCTTGTCCTGAAGAAACTATGTTGAATACTCACCGGGCGGACTTGTCAACGTCAACAAGATGTCGTCGATTGCAATATCACCGTCACTGCTAGAGACTGTGGCCTCAAGCTGTACTCGGACGCCAGTGGTGCTAAAGATTTGGGTCACATGCTGTTCCCATACCCTTCTACCGGTGTGGTGCTTACTCTTTATTAAGAGAATCTTTTTGCCGGAACCCTCCACGATTTGGTAAGCTCTGAGCGTACCTAAATGACACAAGGGTGTATTATTTTTTAAGATTACAAATGCAGGGAGGAAAGTCTGCTATGCGTGCAGATTGATGCTTTGATGCTATTGGAAGCAATACCGTGTGTAACTCAGTTTATAATTGTCCATAGAAGCAATATTTTTTGAGTGATGGCCTAGTTGACAGCTCATGAAGTATCTAATTGTCAACGATTGCTCATCTTAGATTGAATTTTGGAAAATAATCCTTTTGGTAGGGGCTTATAATAATAATGAAAAAAAAGTACAAAATTGTATTGAGTCTAGTGTAACATTCATACCAACGGTTGCTCCATACATGTGGTTCCAAAAGCTGAGATACCACTGACTTGAAGCGGGAACAATTGGACTTATCATTGTTGCAATGGAAGAGACGCCCCTCTCATGTAAGCAATACACCCCTTTGATATCTGTATTACACAATGCAAATAAAAAAGGTCCTGATGATTATTAACGATGAATTGCCGTTAACAATTAATTACCGTACCCTAACTCTAGCACGGCAACCAACATTTCTGACAAACTTAGTCAAATCTGCAGAAGCATTGTGATGGAATTTACATTTAGGGGGCACGGTCCCTCCCCCGGCACTGAGAAGACCGAAAATACCCCGATCCTAAGAAGGGTAAATTACCCGTTTATCGCTCGTAAATTGACCTGCCCGTGAAACGAGGAATCCCAAAATTTGTGAATCTTTAATTGGCGTTCTGTCAGATCCGTTTGTTTAGGAACGTTTGTTTTGTACATATAAATTCCAATCAGGGAATGATTGGGTTTCTTTTGAAATAAATCCGAGTATAAACATTTTCTACATCCGAAAAAGCAGACCATTGCAATTATTGCAAAAATGAAACATGGCATCCTTCAAGTGCGTTATGCCCCATTGGTATATTCGTATATACGAAATCTGTCAGCTTACTTTAACAAAAATAACAGTCAAAAGAAGGGAGAAAAAAAAACACGAATCACGCACTGCCAAAGGTGTGGTCATATTCTATCCCTGGTCCGGCTAAGGGTGTGGTCCCACGCTCCAACTTCCAGTTCGCATCTTGGTTGCTAACCACTTGCTCCCAACCGCAGTATCCTTCCTCAAAGCTGCAGTCGAATCCTGTGTCGAGATCTCGAAGCGGCAAATCAGGAAAAAAAAGAAAGGATATCACAATAGTGAACACGTTAATAGACGAAAAGGTATGACCAGAGAATTCGGGTGTCGGTCAACTCGGTCTGTAACCAACTCGGTCCGAGTCACATTGGTTCCAATTCAACTCTGTCAACTCGGTCCCAGGTCAACTCAGTCCCAGGTCAACTCGGTCCCAGGTCAACTCTGTCCCAAGTCAACTCGGTCCCAGGTCAACTCGGTCCCAGGTCAACTCGGTCCCAGGTCAACTCGGTCCCAAGTCAACTCGGTCCCAGGTCAACTCAGTCCCAAGTCAACTCGGACCCAAGACAACTCGGTCCCAGGTCAACTCGGTCCCAGGTCAACTCTGTCCCAGGTCAACTCGGTCCCAAGTCAACTCTTTTCAAACTGACGTCTCAACTGAGGGCTTTCTGAAATCACCGTGTTGTTCTGGTGTCTGACACGGAGATACAGACGGAGTAAAAGGCCGCATATTGTCCACCGTGAGCGGAACCGGGTCCCCCAGAACAGTATGGAACGCCAAAGCCGCCTTCTATAGTTCGATTTCATTCCATAATCAATTTCATCATTCCATTCGGCGATTTCATCATTTCATTCGGCGATTCCATCATTCCATTCGGCGATTTTATCATTCCATTCGGCGATTTCATCATACAATTCGGCAATTCCATCATTCAATTCGGCGATTTCATCATTCCATTCGGCGATTTCATCATTCCATTCGGCAATTCCATCATTCCATTCGGCGATTTCATCATTCCATTCGACGAGTCCATCATTCCATTCGGCGTTCATCCTTTCATTCGTCTATTTCGCATTTGATTTAGCCATTCTACATTTCATTCAGCAATTTCGCCCCTTTTGCACTTCATGCTATTCTGCATTTCGCATTTCATGCAGCTATTTCGCATTTTATGCAGATATTCCGCATTTCATTCGGTCCGGCAGCGTCCATCCGTACGGAAGCGTTAAAGGGACATAACACAAAGTAAAAAAAAAGAGGTCATTATAAGGACTTATTATTAAGTCATTGTTATGACTGATATCTTATAATAATGACTTAGTGTTAAGTCATAATTATGATATATATCTCATAATTACGACTTAGTAATTGTTAAATCATAATTATGACTTATATCTCATAATTATGACTTATTATTAAGTCATATTTATGACTTATATCTTATAATAATGACTTATTATTAAGTCATGACATATCTTATAATTACGACTTAGTATTAAGTCATTATTATAACATATAAGTCATAAATAAGACTTAATAATAAGTCATAATTATGAGATATAAGTCGTAATTATGATATATATCATAATTATCATAATTATGACTTAATAGTCATTATTATAAGATATAATTCATAACAATGACTTAATAATAAGTCATAATTAAGACTCTTTTTTTTACTTTGTCTTATGTCCCTTTAACGCTTCCGTACGGATGGACGCTGCCAGACCGAATGAAATACGGAATAGCTGCATGAAATGCGAAATGGCTGCATGAAAAGCGAAATGCAGAATAGCATGAAGTGCAAAAGGGGCGAAATTGCTGAATGAAATGTAGAATGGCTAAATCAAATGCGAAATAGACGAATGAAAGGATGAACGCCGAATGAAATTATGGAATCACCGAATGGAATGATGAAATCGCCGAATGGAATGATGGAATCGCCGAATGGAATGATGGAATTGCCGAATGGAATGATGGAATTGCCGAATGGAATGATGGAATCGCCGAATGGAATGATGAAATCGCCGAATGGAATGATGAAATCGCCGAATGGAATGATGGAATCGCCGAATGGAATGATGAAATCGCCGAATGGAATGATGAAATTGCCGAATGGAATGATGGAATCGCCGAATGGAATGATGGAATCGCCGAATGGAATGATGGAATCGCCGAATGGAATGATGGAATTGCCGAATGGAATGATGGAATCGCCGAATGTAATGATGAAATCGCCGAATGGAATGATGAAATTGCCGAATGGAATGATGGAATCGCCGAATGGAATGATGGAATCGCCGAATGGAATGATGGAATCGCCGAATGGAATGATGAAATCGCCGAATGGAATGATGAAATCGCCGAATGGAATGATGGAATCGCCGAATGGAATGATGGAATTGCCGAATGGAATGATGAAATTGCCGAATGGAATGATGAAATCGCCGAATGGAATGATGGAATCGCCGAATGGAATGATGGAATTGCCGAATGGAATGATGAAATCGCCGAATGGAATGATCGAATTGCCGAATGGAATGATGAAATCGCCGAATGGAATGATGAAATTGATTATATGGAATGAAATCGAACTATAGAAGGCGGCTTTGGCGTTCCATAGAACATGGGTATCAAAGCAAGGCATACTGTCTACACGGATCGACTGGGGAAATGACTTGGGACTCCTTTCGCCATGGAAGGAAGCAACCGCTTACTTGGGAAAGTCAATATTTGGCGCTATTATGTAACAACACCGATTGCAGTTGGCGGGAAATACATGCAATAAGTTTGCTTACCTGGACATTCACCCTCCGATAGATCGACGTCATCGATGGCTATGTCACTGGTTGATGAAACACCTCTCCTGGCCTCTATCGCCACTTGGAAATCCGATGTCTGATTAACCGCAACCTTAGCCTGAATCCAGACTTTTGGGCCGGTTTGTTGGCCTGCTATGCTCAGTACAAGTGACTCATTGGCAGGGTAAGCGGACTCATTGACAGGGTATAGGCCTACGGACACTTTAAGAGCACCTGGGAAAAAGAAAACATTGCAATGCAATTATGTTGGACTAGGGGGGCTGCAGTCTATGGGCTCCGTTCGCCAACAAAAGAGGGCACCCTTTTACCTAGCAACGACGTCCCATGGGTGGGACATGTAGCTGGTTGATGCGCACCGTTCCTTGTGAGTGAGGCACGTACACCAGGGGATTTTGTACTATGTACACCCAGTGGTACGGCCACGTGTCGCAGCAATATTGCAGTCAGGCAGATGGCATCGGTCGGTCACCCCCAACTGTACTTTGTTTGCCGGTGAGGGGGTACTTGTGAATGGAGCGGATACCAGGGGTAACGACATGACGGTTTCTGAATAAAAGTAATTCAAACTACAATTAAGGAGAGCTTATCGTTTTGGGAGGGGAGTTTAATCAAAAATTATCCCGTACCTCCTTCTGTAATCCCCCGTCCATACATGTTGTACCAGAAACTGAAGCACCAGACTGACTGAGATTCGTTCGCTGCAACCACAGGACTCAGAAGTACCACTCTATCTCCCATATCAAGCGGTCTGGCATGCATATAGTAGTACTTGCCATTGGAATCTATATGTTGGGAGATGGGCAGAGAGGGAGATAATGTGATGAGTCGAATGAAGTTTGGTACAATCGCAGAATGATGGTTAAAGGTCAAGATGGCAGTGTTACGTTTGGTTGATAATTTGCTTTAATATTGGGTGAGGCTTCTCCTGATTTTGTTTTTATACGCATGGCAAGTACTCTTATTGACGATGATTTTACCGGGCCCAGAGGGCCAGCAAATAGTTCTGTTGGTACCCACTGACTGACTGACTGATGGACTGACTCAATGGTTGACTCAATGACAGACAGTCACCTGTTATCCAAGCAGTGCGACTTTGTCTAGACTTAGTCTAGGCTTTGTGTTGACCAGATGCACAAAGACTTGCAGTAAATAGCCATCTCACAGGCGCAGCCAGCGGGCTGTAAGGGGGAAGGGGGGGGGGTCAATGGGGTATTTACCCTCCTCCAATACTTGGTAAAGACTGCCCTTTTCCACTCAAGTGGCCTTTTTTTATCAGTGTTTACCCCCAATATTTTTTTCAAGAGTGCCCTTTCTTTTTACAAGTGCCTGCGTTTTATTTTAAACAAGTGCATGGAATTAAAAAAAAATAATAAGTGCCCGTTTGTTGTACCAGCGGCCGTTACAAGACAGTGCCTTTTTTTATTTTCGCTTGTGTGCCAAGCTCTGTTGTCCGATAGTGTGCGTGATCGTCCGGTTTGAACAGCGCCCCCATTGGAAGATGGTACCAGCCCCCCCCCCCTCCACTATTTGATTTTAAGGAGGCAAAGTGTCCGGAGAAAAAAAAAAACCCTGTCTACATTTCCACACGGATGTGCGAGTGCCCTTTTCAAAAATTCCGACCCCCCCTCAAAAAAAAAAATGATAATAAAATGACCTTGCTACGCCTCTGCATCTGAATCAATTGAATAGACACAGTTTGCCTTGTCTTGTAATAAAAAATACGGCAATTTCCAATATGAATGAAGTTGGAGAACACCCCCTGTTGCGCAACCTCTTTGGATTAGCCAAAAAGTATCATCCTGAATTCCGCCAAATACTACTCACCTCCCAGGGTGTGGTCATACAACGGTCCAGTCTCTTCCGTCGGTGTGTCACCACACTGCAATGCCCAATTCGAATTGTCATCGGTCCTTTGCGTCCAACCGCACGGTCCTTGCTCAAAGTTGCAGCTGAAGTTGAGATTGGGCGCTGATAAAGACAAAAAATAGAAAACAACACAGGTGACTAGAAAATAAATTGCAGACACAAGTTGATCGCAAGCCTCAGTTTAATTTCAAAGGATGTGTATAACACAGGTTGGTCACACAGTCGTGTTTTACTATACTCTCGAGGACAATGCTTTGTGTTTCCCTTTGTCCCTGTAATATAACACTCTCCCATAGACTAAGCACACAAACTTACTACAGAGGACCGTTTCCAACAAAAGACCCAACTCCCGAGGACTGAAAGGACCTATTGTTCTCCCTTTGTGTGTCAGTCCTTGGGGGTTATGTAGAACACGTACACTCGTACACATTGCAACCACCTCATATAAGGTCTTATCCGTGACGCTATCATCTCAGCTACCCGTGGAGATTTCTACATCTCAGCTACTTCGACCACACGTAGGCAAAATGAGGTGTATACCATTCAACTAGGGACCATCATAAATGGTGCGCCAACTGGATACATTATACGGCACGAAAAAAAGTTGCTTATTAAATCATCAATTCGTGAGGTTATTTCACAAAGCCTATGCATGCATACATCTTAAAGATGTAGTCCATCATTTGTAATTTGTGCATTTTGTTCGTTTGAAGCAACAAAAGCGTTCAAAATCTAATGAAGGATACTGAACAACTAACCTGATGAAGTGTCAGCTCAGCTTCAGCTGTATATTGCGAGAAAAACAGCATTCTAGGATCTCAATTTCAAATCAAAAGTTGCTGAATCATGTTTTGAATTGTTTTGAATTGCAGCTATACGCGATGTCGCGCACTGATCCGACGAATTATAGCAACCACGCGCGCCTGTGCGTCGTGCCAATGCTTGCGCGCGCTGCGCCGAATAACAAAACGAACTATTAATTTAAATTTTCCTACGGTGCATCTTAAGAGTTAAAGACGCACCGTTGGAAAGGCCTTCTTTCGTTGATTACTTCATGATAGCTTGCCAGAAAGATGAATTTCACAGGGAGTTTAGTCCACTTACTATCTTTCAACCAACTATGTTTTTCAACAATAATACACCAGTTACTTTTTCGGATGGCTGCAAATGATGGACTATAGCTTTAACATTTCATGTCATGCATGTGTGAAATGCACAATGCCCGTAGCGTGCCAGATGAAACAGGCATGCAAGATGGTGATTTAACAAGCAACTTTTCCCGAGCCCGTTATGTACCCCGTATGTGTACCATTTCTAATGATCCTTACTTATAACGGTGTGAGCACGGGTCGGCAGCTGTAGATGTTAGATTTTCTACCTGAGTAGAGCCTCTCAACCCAGGTTCTGACCAGGGTTGGAGTTTACCCATGTAGAGCGCCCGGCCAGTGAAGAGGCCGTGTTGGATTTTGTTTGTGTAAAAGGGTTCCTGAAATCTCTGTGTTGGGTCGACCCGTGTCCAACCAAGGACATGGTCCGTGGTCCAACACAGAGACTGTCGACATTGTGAAAGGCCGTACTTCGTTGCGTCCATCCTGTGTTGAAATCCAACCGGGTCCACCCATAAATAGTCCGTGGTCCACCGCACACGGACCGGGTCGCATAGAACACGGGCTAGCAAGGCATATACCGACACCACACGGGTCTTCTGGGGAAATGACTTGGGACTCGGACTAGACCCAAATGACTCGGGACTAGTCTCTGGCTCAGACTCGATACTGAGGACTCGGACTCAGGATCGAGGTTTTTGGGATTCGATTACAATTAGTCTGGTGGACTGGTAGACAGCCCCTATAGGAGCGCAGAAAATCAGAAGTAGCACTTACCTGGGCACATTTGGCATTGAAAGCCGAGGCCATCGATTGCAACGTTGCCCCTTTCTCCCGTACCGCTTGTCACTTGTATGGCCACTGCAAAGTCTTCCTCCGTAATATTAAGGTTGGCTTGCACCCAGGCATTGGGACCCGTCTGTTGACCAATCACGCTGAAAGGGGGCTCAATCAAGTCCTGCGGACCTGGCGGATACTTACGTGTATCAATGATTAGATATACTTTCAGAGCGCCTTGAAGGATAGAGAGAGAGAGAGGTAGGGGGAGGGGGGGGGGGGGGGGGGGGGAGGGGGGGAGGAGGAGGGGGAGGATATGAAAATTAGTCCTAAGATATTAAAAGTTCAGCGAATATGATTAACTTACATATTTTACTGACATTAGGCCAAAAAAAAAATAAGTCGGTCTCTGGTCAGCGCGCGCGTCAATTTTAATCATGCGCGTCGATCTTTTTTTTCTCCAAAATGTTCCGCAGTAGCTCCAACAGCGCCCTCTATTTCCGCACCTCCTCAATTTTTTTTACCAAAGAGCACCAAGGAATGGGAAATTGCACCAAGGCAAATGATCGAAAGCACCAAGGCAAATTATGGAGGACACCAATGTACATGAGGACACCAAAAAAGCAAAATAGTACCCCACCTTGTCTGTACAATCCAAGCTTGAAGAAAAAAAAAAAAAAAGCAAAAAAAAAACAAACAAACCGCGTGGCCACGTCAATTCCAGAACTTTGGTCTGACCAGAGACCAAATATTTTTTTTTGTTGGCCTTACCAACGTATTTTTCTTCAATCTGAACCACTTCTAAAATAGTACCAGCTGTATCAAGAAGAAAAATCCACAATTTGACCACGAACAAATCATTTTTATTAAAAGAATACCAATCCGACAACCACTAGTAACCGAGTCTAGTCTAAAGAAATGCAGAGATAAGACCACTAACATAAACGTCCTAATTGAGAAGAGCAATCTGACAAAAACCTGAGACTTCTACTTCAAGAATACAAGTGAATACGACCAAACGTGAGTGAGGAGAATCAGTTTACTAAAATACGAAAATGACAACCGACCAAACCTCTTCTAAAAACAACCTTATATCACTTGCAGTCAAAAGCTGTAACAATACTCATCTGATAATATCTGACTGTCAACGGAAACTTCAACTATTCTATACAAAAAGCCTATACCCCTAAATCTCTACAATAGAAAAACCAATGTGACTATTAAGCAAAACATCTACTCTGACAAGAACAGCAAAACAAAAACCACGCACTCAAGTACAGCACTCAAGCCAACAACCATGCGTTGACCATGTTGACAGTGTTTGAAATAATCATGGAAATCGGAATCTCCACATTCCCACATCAGCTTACCTATATCATGCCCGAACATGTTGTACCAGAAACTAAAACACCAAGGGTCTTCTACACTCACATCAGCGCCATTCACAAAAAAAAAACTATACAAAGCAGCTGTGTCTCCTTCTGCACCATTGCTGGCATTAAAAAAGGCGAGTCCTCCCATCGAATCTTTAAAGGAAAAAAAAAGGAAACCCGTTAGATTAGTATAATTTCTCAAAGGTGTGCAAAGAAGAAGAACTTGTAGCAGAACATACACTCTCTTATTTCATCTGCAAATGTAATGTACTGAGAACTTTGTTTTTTGGGATGGTAAGTCCACTAATATTTCTTTCCAGCTGGTTATGATTGTTGGTTTATTTGAATAGTAATAGTATCTACCTTGTGGTGCCATGGTTTGGGAACCGTTTGCTTTTTAAGGGTCCTTTGTTATAGGTTAAAATATAGCCTAATTTACTTATGTTGAAGGTGGTCATGAAAATGACCATTGTTGAGTTTAATCAACCGACCTGCCCATTATGAAATCTAACAAAATAAAATCACGGCGGAGTTGTCTTTTTTATGGCGTTTTTATCACCACTAAAGTCAAAACATTACATTCATATTCCTTCATTCAGTCATTCATCGTAACTCCAACATTGTGTTCAGAGGTACGCCAACATTTTCTCGTTTCAAATATCCCATATTTTCTTAACTAAAGCTAATGCAACGTTTGCAAAGATTATGTTTGGACATGTTGGATGTCTTCATTTTTACTACATGTACTGCATAGTGCATACAGTACACATAAATTTGTACATGTATATACCTGCATTCACATAGACTACTTTCTTTTGTTTAAGATGTGGCAAAGTGCGGTTATAGTTCGTGGCAAGATTCGCCTATATCGGGGTACGCCATCTTGAAAATCAAAGCAATGCACATAAAATCAAACAAACTTGGCGGCATCAATAGTGTGTGCAGTGAACGAGTGACGGTCGCAAAGTGGATGGGGAGCTCAAATTCCCCGAAACATCAATTAACATTTTAGGTAGGTCACTTTTCATTGTATTGTGAAGAAGGATCTTATTGAAAATAAAGCCCCAAAACCACAGGCCGAACTGAGGTTTCCGTCTTTGTTCTCGCTCCCCGGCGTACTTGGTACTTCGTAGGTTCTCCTCCATAGGACTCCACAGGGAAGTTTTAACAGGAGGCGGGTGGTCACAAAACTATTTAAAGGAGGGCATTGCTCTGTTTGAAGGATTTCTTGGTGGGTTTGCTTATTATGATGGATTGAGGGACTTTATTCCACTCTTGATTGTCCGTGGAAAAAAATGAGTTTGTGAATGGTACCAGGTTGGTGGTGTAGTTTGTTTGGCTTTTCTGCCGTCTTGGAAGCTGACCCATTGAAGAGTTTTCAGTATTTCAGTGATGCTAGCTTCACTTTTTATGGCTCTGTAGATTAAACAGTCGTTAGCGAAGAGTCGTATCTTGCTGGAGATAGCTTCACCGATATCATTATTAAACAGCAGGAATAGGTGTGGTCCGAGAACTGTTCCTTGGGGGACGCCATTGAGAACTTTTTCCAGGTTGATGGAGAACCATTTATTGTCACTCACTGCTGATGTCTAGTCAAAAAATTCTCAATCCAGAGTTTGGTGTTGCCTCTTACTCCATAGTGGTCTAACTCGATGAGGAGTCTTTGGTGGGGTACAACGTCAATGGCTTTGGAGAAGTCCAAAATTGCAAGGTCTGTATAGTGATGCGGTTTTCGTGAGGTCGTGGCTGGTCAGGATGAGTTGAGATTCAGTTGATCTACAATCCCGGCCAAAATGGTTGGGACACTTGGAAATAACCTTAGCCTCCCACCGTCACCCACTCCCCCGCTCCCGGTCAATGTTTTCCTCTCCAGCTGATGGAGCACAGGATTCTTTACGAAAGACATGTTGTGCGTCGGTGAGGATGTTAGATTTCTCAAAATGTTTCACAAGTTGACTGTCGATGATGTATTCAAGTAGCTTGCAGCATACCATGGTTAATGCGGGATGGTAGTTGGCAGGGTCAGTTGTAGCACCTTTTTTATTGGCCTTATGCCAGTCGTCTGGTAGGTCGCCGGTGTCTATCGATTGTTGGAAGATAAATCTAAGGATAGGGGCAATTTCATGAGAAGCTATCGTGAGGGCGTGGTTGATCGAGACTTCATCTGGTCCGGCAGCTTTGGAGGGGTCAATGTTGCGAAGCAGCTTTTCCACAACTATTTCTGGCATATCTTCACAAGCAGGGTGGAGTATCTGCGGCATACTTGAAGGTTCCAATTCTTCTCTGGTGAAGACGCTCTGAAACTGTGCGCTCAGGGCTGCTGCTACATGTATATCACTGTCTTTGGTGTATGTTGTTTACCTCAAGTACTGGGACGCCCGTGTTGTCCTTTTTCTTTGATCTTACAAAATGCCAAAACTTTTTAGGCTGGTCAGTGTTGAATGTTGATGATTTCTGACATGTGTGTATTAAACACTTATGTAGGCAGGAACGCACACAAAGAAATGATTCTTTTCGAACAGTTTTATTTTAAACAATGATTAGGTTTGGCCCAAACAAGTAATCAAACAACAATTAAAGATTAAAGGATATTATTATGGCAAGGATACTCGAGTAGAGATGAGGCGGCTGGCGAACAAAAAGATACAAGAACACGTGTTTATACAGTTCGGTGTGAAGAGTTCACTCTCTTCTTGCTAAAGTTCTAGCAAAGATTAGCTGGAGTTACCCAGCCCTGAGTTTTATCATTGGGTTGTCATCTAGGGCTGGAGCGAATTTTTCTCGTAACTTGTAGTATAGCCTATAGGCAAAAAAAATTGGAAAATGTTCAATTTTGTCCCCGTTACACACTAATTGCAACTGCAACTCACCCCAAACTTGCCTGGAATAACCATTACACAGGTCCTTGAAGTAAAAAACGATCCACGATGAAGATTCAGCCTACAATTGCAGTGAAAACAGGAGGAATAACCGCTAACCTGACAACCTTTCAGGCATGGCCAGGACTGCAATTGGTTTGTGCACAAAAAAAAATTGTGTACAATGAATGGCGGTCGAATAACAGGCACAGAGAGCGATCGCTGTCAACTACTCGTTTTTGCCGGCTGCGCTGGCTGTTGGCGCATGACGTCACGCGGAAGCGTAACACCCGATGACTGTTTCATGCACTAATATAAGGTTTACCACTCGCATCACAGCTTTGGTACTGGAACCGCAACCAATAGTGCATGAAACATCCCCAAGTAAATAAGAATATTCTTCTTTTATTATTTTAATATGTCTCAAACATTTTATTGCAGAGTATTACTTTTCTTTTTCAGATTTGTGGCTCTGGAGGATTTTTTTTAAAGGGAAATAAAGTCCGAAATTATAAAATGGTCTGATTCCCATTCTGTTAATACAAAAATACAACGATAATATTGGCATGGAGCCAGACTAAAATTTGTCACCGGAAAATGTTTAAGTACAAAAAAAAAGTAACTGCGCATGTTCAGTGCATATCCGGCAAACTAACGTTTACTGAAGGTTTGCCGTCTCCGGCAAAATATCCACTGCCTATAAATAATATCTCAAAGGTGTGCAAAGAAGAAGAACTTGTACATGTTGTAGTAGCCCGACTGCGTCTGGCCGTACAGTATTGTTGATGTACCCTAACGTGGCGCGGCCCCTAACGTGGCGCACTTTGATTTTTCGCCTGTAGCGCCTAGCTAGAGCAAAAGTTTTAACTGAAATTTCACAGAAAGTGAAATTTCATCAAGTTCTAAACACTCCCGTTCATAAATTGCAAGTTTATCAACCCGCTACAAAGTTAAAAGAAAAATTTATTTTGGCGTGATTTTCCGATTTTATTTTCAAGTGCAAAGTGAAACCTTGAAAATGCCCCAAAAAATAAGAAAATCATTTTCTGACAAACATCTGGCTGGGTATGTAAGTAGAAATAATAATGATTTATCAGAATTGATCAAGTTTACAGAAATTCTTAAATGTTAATTTGGATTTTTCCGAGATTTATTTAAGTGCGCCACGTTAGGGAACACTCCGAAAATTTGTGCCCAATTTCCGGACGCCAACAGATTCCACAGTCATCAGATTCCACAAATATCGTCCCCCATGCGATCCCCCATGCGATTTCAAAATGGCGGCCGCGCTGTAATGTATGCAATATGCAGGCGCGCCCGCGCAAATCATGAATATGCATAACAATCTGTGACGTACGACCTCGTGTTTTTGGACGTGCGTGCGGCGGGGCCGTACGTCCAAAAACACGAGGTCGTACGTCACAGACGGTTTATGCATATTCATGAGTTTGCGCGGGCGCGCCTGCAATTGCATACATTACAGCGCAGCCGCCATTTTGAAATCGCATGGGGGATCGCATGGGGGACGATATTTGTGGAATCTGATTACTGAAATTCGTCTTGTGGCCAGATAGATGAAAATATTGAGACCAAACAACGTTTTTTCGAAAAGGTATGAGTTGCTCTACGACTACAAACCTTAACTTTGGAAATTTGTGTCCTGGATGAAAAGATAATTGTGATCGAAAGATGTAGCAAAATCGCTACATCGGCGGCCACAAAAATTCAGTCTTTTTGGAAGCATTCAGCGTCTGGCCGTACTACAGAGCTTGCGATAGTACTGTACGGCCAGACGCAGTCGGGCTACGTCTGGCCGTACTACAGAGCTTGCGATAGTACGGCCAGACGCAGTCTGGCTAATGTTGTAGCAGAACAGGAAATGGGTCAACTCGTACCCGAGTTAACTCGTACCCGAGTCAACTCGTACCCCGAAATTGACACCCAAGTCAAGTCGTACCCGAGTTAAGTCGTACCCGAGTCAAGTCGTACCCCAGTCAACTCGTACCCGAGTCAAGTCGTACCCGAGTTGACTCGTACCCGAGTCAACTCGTACCTGCAGCTCAAAATAGTTGCCTATTTTCGAAAAGAAAATCAGTGAAACGAACGGAAGATCGGAGGGATATGGCCGGTTGTCCGTGCACGGTGATATCGTTTGTGCCGAGCCTGTGCGCGCACTCGCTGGTCAACGTGGTCGTACCGTACACGGTGACATCGTTTTTGCCGGGCCTGTGCGCGCACTCATCGGCCAACGTGGTCGAACCGTGCACGGTGACATCGTTTTTGCCGGGGGGGGGGGGGGGGGGGGGTGCGCGCACTCATCGGCCAACGTGGTCGTACCGTGCACGGTGACATCGTTTTTGCCGGGCCTGTGCGCGCACTCATCGGCCAAAGTATGCATGCTTTTATCAATTTATTTTATTTTTATATTACAGATGATCCTGTGGTTTTCCGATGAACCATTTTCTGCTACTCAAACCGATCGATCGGATGGTCTGTCACACAGTTCATGATGAATCGAATCGGATGTCAAGTTTCGAGGACGAAACCCGATTAGCTCAGTTTTGTTTAAGATAATAAAACTTTCTCTTGCACTTGAATTACAATTTGCTAATGTCAAACAATCTTTTACACCCAAGCATCAACTAACAAATTGGTCCCCTAAAACTTATAGAAAGAGCATCTCTGAATGAAACGAGCCACCATTTTCCTTTATCGTGTTTACTTCCTTGATGCCTCAAATGTAAACAAATAATTAAAAATCCTACATTTCTGTTACCAAAATAATATTCTAGTTGAACTTATCGCAGAAACTTTATTTAAGCTGCAAAAGATTTTTTTTACGACATTTACCAAACTAATTGACAAAAAATGACCAACATATTAAAGAATCATTAAAAATTAAATAACAATGTCCGTGTGACTCTTTTAAGTTTCCTGTAATATATTTTCTCTTCAGATGCCAAATGATGCCAAAAATGGAGTGAGTGAACGTTGAAAAATATTACTTTTACATTACAAAATTCATTTTTTAATAGCAGCTTTCTTTAAAAAAAAAAAGGTCTTAAATACTAAATTCGTAAAAAGAAAACTATGCCCTTAAAACACGTTCGACCGAACAAAAAAAAGACGTAGCAGTTCGCACAGTCACTCCGCAATCTCAGTGATCCAGGGTCTCTGAAAAAAGAAAGAAAAAACATCATTTCTAAGAGAAAATACTACACAATCGTTCGCGATGAAGCCCTTGCTGATGAACGGTACATTTTCCCTTTTCATCCAGATTGTGATCAACATTTGATACCACCGCCTTCAACTAATCCTTAAACTTTATTTGTATTTCTGGCGGCGTAACTACTATTTCTCAGTCGCCGTTTTTTGCGGGTAAAATCGGAAGTTGGTACAACTATAGAATGCAGGGCCACTTTACTCTACATCCGCGCCTCCGTACGGCTGCGTGGAGGCGTGGAACCGCAGTCGACCTACCTCCGAAAATCGATCGTGGAGTCGTGGAGCCGCAGAGAATTGCGCCCTCTATCGGTGCGTGTCTCTCCGACTCCGCGACTCCGCGCCTCCGCCACTGATCCAGTGTATAGTGCCCCGCGTCACGCAAAGAATTGCGCCCTCTATCGGTGTGTGTCTCTGCGACTCCGCGACTCCGCGCCTCCAGCTCCGCCACCAGTGTATAGTGCCCCGCGTCACGCAGAGAATTGCGCCCTCTATCGGTACGCGTCTCTGCGACTCCGCGCCTCCGCCGCTCCAGACAGTGCCCCGTCGCCCTCCTCCCTTCCTAATTTGCGCGCCCATTTAAAGCGATTCTGCGACTCCAAGACTCCGCGCCTCCGCCGCTCCAGACAGTGCCCCGTCGCCCTCCTCCCTTCCTAATTTGCGCGCCCATTTAAAATGGATATGGATGCTTCGTTCTCAAAAAAATTCCGCCGAGAATTGCGCCCTCTATCGGCGCGAGTCTCTGCGACTCCGCGACTCCGCGCCTCCGCCACTGCCGCCACTCCAGTGCCCCGCGTCTCCGCGATTCTGCGACTCCAAGACTCCGTGCCTCCGCCGCTCCAGACAGTGCCCCCAAAACATTTACAAGCACGCCCTCCCTTCCGATCCTTCATGAGAAGCTTAGAAGACAAGTGCAGTGCATTCCTTCGCTGTACTTAGCACTTTTTTGCAGGTTTGCATATCTATTAGTCCTATTCCATCCACGCCTCCAGGCAAAATAAAAAACCTTGCTTCGGCGTGGCCCTGCATTCTATAGTTGCTCCCGGAAGTTTTGTTAACCATCCATCCGTACTTCAAAACTAAAAAAGGAGGGGAGTGCGAGTTGACCCGGGTACGAGTTGACTCGGGTACGAGTTAACCTGGGTACGAGTTGACTCGGGTACGAGTTAACCTTGGTACGAGTTAACTTGGGTACGAGTTGACTCGGGTACGAGTTGACTCGAGTACGAGTTGACTCGGGTACGAGTTAACTCGGGTACGAGTTGACCCATAATCGCAGAACATACACTCTCTTATTTCATCTGCAAATGTAATGTACTGAGAACTTTATTTTGTATACTCACACAATGCCGTCTACAACTGCTTAATATCAACAAAACGTTCAATTCAGCACCTTCAGAGGTCTAGTTATCATGGTTATCTTGTAATTTCGAGTTGAATTCGGACGACTTTTACAGCCATTGTTCACGAAAGCGTCGCGTTGCATGACGTCATTTGTTGTGATAAATCGCGCCCTCACTAGCTTGTATCAAATTTTGACAATGTGCATTTGTACGGCTGTTGCCTGTCATTCAGTTTTGGTCAAAGGAGTGCCTGCATATATATGCACTTTTGACCAAAACTGAATGACAGGCAACAGCCGTACAAATGCACATTGTCAAAATTCGATGCAAGCCAGTGAGGGTGCAACCTCGTCCCCAGTGCTTACTTTATTTCCAACACGGTTTCCAATAGTTACGGAAGCTTGAATTGCCTTCTATTCCGCGATACCGCGTTACCGTGATAATTTATCACAGAAATCCGGAATTCAAAGATAAATCCTTCCTCGATACTGCGTTACTGTGATAACTTATCGCAGAAATCCGGAATTCAAAGATAAATCCTTCCTCGATACCGCGTTACTGCGACAACCCAATGATAAAATTTAGGGCTGGGTAACTCCAGTACGGAAGCTTGAATTGCCTTCCGAGATACCGCGTTACCGCGATAATTTATCGCAGAAATCAGGAAATCAGAGATAATTCCTTCCGCGATACCGCGTTACTCCGATAATTTATCACAGAAATCCAGAAATCGAAGATAAATCATTCAACGATACCGCGTTACTGCGATAATTTATCACAGAAATCCAGAAATCAGAGATAATTCCTTCCGCGATACCGTGTTACTGCGATAATTTATCACAGAAATCCAGAAATCAGAGATAATTCCTTCCGCGATACCGCGAACTGTGATAAATTATCACAGAAATCCAGAAATCAGAGATAATTCCTTCCGCGATACCGCGTTACTGTGATAATTTATCACAGAAATCCAGAAATCAGAGATAATTCCTTCCGCGATACCGCGAACTGTGATAAATTATCACAGAAATCCAGAAATCAGAGATAATTCCTTCCGCGATACCGCGTTACTGTGATAATTTATCTCAGAAATCCAGAAATCAGAGATAATTCCTTCAGCGATACCGCGAACTGTGATAAATTATCACAGAAATCCAGAAATCAGAGATAATTCCTTCCGCGATACCGCGTTACTGCGATAATTTTAACGGTAACGCGGTATCGCGGAATAGGTATCTTTGATTTCTGGATTTCTGTGATAATTTATCACAGTAACGCGGTATCGCGGAAGGAATTATCTCTGATTTCTGGATTTCTGTGATAAATTATCACAGTAACGCGGTATCGCGGAAGGAATTATCTCTGATTTCTGGATTTCTGTCATGATAAATTATACGGAAGCTTAAAGTGCCCATCCGAGTTTCCAAGTTTCCGAGATAAGTTCCTGGAAAGATGGAATACTTAGATATTTTAGACGTCTTTCCCTAATACCGGATCTCGGAAAGAGTATTTCCCCGGTATTTATATCTCGGAAAGACGTCTTTCCCTGATATCGTATCTCGGAAAGACGTCTTTTCCTGATATCGTACCTCGGAAAAACGTCTTTTCCTGATCTGGTATCTCGGAAAGACGTCTTTTCCTGATATTGTATCTCGGAAAGACGTCTTTCTCTCATTATCTTATCTCGGAAAGACGTCTTTCTCTCATTATCTTATCTCGGAAAGACGTCTTTTCCTGATATGGTATCTCGGAAAGACGTCTTTCTCTCATTATCTTATCTCGGAAAGACGTCTTTCTCTCATTATCTTATCTCGGAAAGACGTCTTTCCCTGATATGGTATCTCGGAAAGACGGCTTTCACTGATATTGTATTTTGGTATCTCGGAAAGACGTCTTTTCCTGATATTGTATCTCGGAAAGACGTCTTTCTCTCATTATCTTATCTCGGAAAGACGTCTTTCTCTCATTATCTTATCTCGGAAAGACGTCTTTTCCTGATATGGTATCTCGGAAAGACGTCTTTCTCTCATTATCTTATCTCGGAAAGACGTCTTTCTCTCATTATCTTATCTCGGAAAGACGTCTTTCCCTGATATGGTATCTCGGAAAGACGGCTTTCACTGATATTGCATTTCGGAAAGACATCTTTCCCTGATATAACATCTTGGAAAGACGTCTTATTTCTCTTATATTATCTCGGTAAGACGCCTTTCCCTGATGTAACATCTCGGAAAGACGTCTTTCTCTCATATCATCTCGGAAAGACGCCTTTCCTTGATATCGTATCTCGGAAAGACGTCTTTCCCTGATATAACATCTCGGAAAGACGTCTTTCTCTCATATCATCTCGGAAAGACGTCTTTCCTTGATATTGTATCCCGGAAAGGCGTCTTTCCCTGATATTGTATCTCGGGAAGACGTCTTTCATCTCGGAAAGACGTCTTTCTCTCATAACTTATCTCGGAAAGACGTTTTCCCCTGATATTGTATCGCGGAAAGACGTCTTTCATCTCGGAAAGACGTTCTTTCTCTCATATCTTATCTTGGAAAGACGTTTTTCCCTGGTATAACATCTTAAGACGTCTTTCTCTCATATATCATCTCGGAAAGACGTCTTTTCCTTGATATTGTATCTCGGAAAGACGTCTTTCTTTCATATCTTATTTCGGCAAAACGTCGTTCCCTGATAGCGTATCTCGGAAAGATGTCTTTCACTGATCACTGGTTTACTGTTTTTGTTTTTGAGGAAATCCAAAACGGTAAAACGAAATAACGGTATGTCCCGGGATTGAACACCCAAGAATGTGTTATGTAACACTTCCTGTGGGTCAAGTCATTCCATGGTCTTGCAAGCATTCTGATTTGTGTTTCCCAGCGTCATGCATGTGTGTGTTCATGGAGGAATAATTAAGAACGAACTCCTTGGTCCGTGTTCCTTGCTCGTGTGTGGTCCATTTTGTCCTTATTTTTGCAACCACGGCTTAAAATAAATGTGCATTTCAAATTCAAGTCTTTAATATTGGGGGTTATAATTAATAGTGCGCGCCACGAAAATTCTATGCATATAATATCTTACGTACACAAGTACAGCCCCGAAAAACTCAGCACACTAATAGTAATACAGTGACGAAAATGTACATGTACACTACTGAACATTTTGTGCATGCGTGTTGAAGCGAAATTTCCGTTTTGGAGAAGCTAGCACGCCGGAGAAGTGAGACCGTGACACCGGGCCTCTGCGCCCATTTGCCGGTCAACTTGTCCGTACCGTGCACGGTGACATCGTTTTTGCCAGCCATGTGCGCCCACTTATCTCATCCCCGGTCGGTCAACGTGGCCGTACCGTGCACGGTGACATCGTTTGTGCCGGGCCTGTGCGCCCATTTGCCGCGCCGGTCGACGTGCCCGTGTGCCGGGCCCGGCCCGGTCCTCGCGGCCGGGCGGGGCGCACCGGCCCGACGCGACGCCCTCTGTAAATCGAGTATGCCCGCGCCGCACCCGTGATCGGTCTTGCCACAGATTTGTGCAACTTTTTCTGCTCCACGTGTATTCATTTCCATTAAGTCGAGCAGTCTCAACGGTCGAGTTGTCCCGATCGAGTCGAGTTGTCTCAACGGTCGACCTGTCTCAACGGTCGAGTTGTCTCAACGGTCGACTTGTCCCGAGTCGAGTTGTCTCAACGGTCGACTTGTCTGACGGTAGCTCTACTGAGTGGAGCGTTGAATTACGGGTACCCCTTTGTATGGAGGGGTACCCGTAATTCAACGCTCCACCCAGTAGAGCTAGGACCGGAGGTAGTCCAGTATTAGTACCGTCACATTTATTGTACTAAGTCTAAGCCATGCGTGGCATGCACCGCCGTCAGGGAAAAGTACGTTTCTTTCCATTTCCACTTTTCAATATCAATCCACAACGTTTTCTGAACTGAAATTGTACCTGTTTAATAGGAAGTACTTACATTAAAAGACTATCCGCGAATTGTCAATCGCAAAGGACCTGTCATTTCCCCGGCCAGAAATAAAGAGGAACTAGGCCTTCATGCAGCCCTGCACGAACGAGTGAAACATTTCTCTTTAGCCCTTCGAGATACCCGTCTATTTTTTTTTTTTTTTGAGCGGACGGGAGTCGACGTATCGTACAGGGCTCGTATCTTTTGCACGGAAACGAGTCAGGGTACAGTTAGCCTTTCACCGATCCCGAGGCCGTCGTGGCTTAACTTGCCCGCATTCAAAGCGGCGAAAGCGCAATTTCTATAGATGAATAGGTCCCCACAAGGTTTTCACGAAATAGATATATGGGTTTTACTCAAAAACTAGGAATTTCCAAGGTGGGTTGATCCGTCGCAAATGGAAGAGTTTTAGAAAAGGGATATTAAGTCCAAATTTCAGCCAAGGAAACTAATTCTGGTTAAAATAAGAGCATTTTGAAACTTCACTTTCAAAATTGAACACTTTACTACACGAGAACAAAGGAATGTCTCCACAAGGATACAAATTTGAGAGGGGGTGGGTGGGTGGGTGGGTGGGTGTGTGTGCTCTTGTATTGTATTACGCTCGAGGACAGACAACAAAAGGAGCACAAAGGAGCCTTTGACCCTCGGACGACGGTGCCTATTGTTAAAACCGGTCCTCGATCGTACGGTTATGTGCTTAGTCTATGGGAAAGTGTTATATTAGAGGGAGGGACAAAGGAAAACACAATAGTTGGCCTCAGGCGTATAGTAAAAAAAGACTGGGTGTGTGTGTGTGTGTCCGGACAAATCTTGTCAGCGCGATAACTTGAGAAATACTTAACATATGAACTTCAAATTTGGTTTGTGTATTGTTCTTGCCTGGTAATCCTAAGAAGCCTATTGCATTTGGGGCCGAAAGGTCAAGGGTCAAGGTAACAGTGGCTGAAACAATAGACATTTTGTCAGCGCGATAACTTGAGAAATACTTTACATATGAACTTTAAATTTGGTTTGTGTATTGTTCTTGGTAATCCTAAGAAGCCTATTGCATTTGGGGCCGAAAGGTCAAGGGTCAAGGTCACAGTGGCTGAAACAATAGAAATTTTGTCAGCGTGATAACGTGAGAAATACTTTACACGTGAACTTTAAATTTGGTTTGTGGATCGTTCTTGGTAATCCAAATAGGCCTATTGCATTGGGGGTCGAAAGGTCAAGGGTCAAGG